AAATATAAACGCTTGTCAGGAAATTGGAACCATATAAATGCTTCCTGTATTTTCAACAGATGGCGTTGTATACGCGTAGCCATATGGATGGCCCGGCAAAGTTTCGCACTTCCATTATAGTTCATTGCAGAACGCAACTCGCCTTGTGCCGGTTCATCACCCAACCCCTACACGGAGTAACATATATATTATTTGATCTTCTGATCTTCGAACTGTTGTGTAAATAAGACTATATATATCCAACATGAAGATTTCCGATGGCAAAATCTGAATTTCATTTAATCGTATAAGGTAAAAAAAATGAAGTGAGTTTTGTTCTCAACTATTCAAAATCTCAGATTCGCTATATACTTAAAGTCTCTTCGTTGAAAATTATTGTTTTGACCGCATGATTTTGTTGAAATATTCCCAAGATTGAACCGATAAATTGTTTTTTGAACTAGAAATAAAGCAAAACTTCAGAAATGACTCCAGGTGTGAAAAAGTTTAATTTTGATAAAAATTCATCTTTTGATTAGAAACGTTTACATGCAAAATATGTGTTTATTTCAATTTTATAATTTTGATACCTCTTGAAAGGTTGTTTATACATTTTTATAAAACATCTGAGAAAGTTGATAACGGAATATATTGGCATAATTCCATAGAGATATTTCAGGTTAAATTTGTATTATATGGAAAATGAACTGTGAAATGCTAAAATATTGCCAGAATTGATTCCAAGTGAAGGTTATGTTTACTCTCATATGGTGTGAAAAGTAACGGTTTGATTCATGTAATTAAATCATTGTTGTTGGCTAATTGCCTGAATTTGAATCAGAAACCAGGTCCCTTTGCACGCAATGTTGACCTAAAAATATATACTTTGGGAATAAATTGGGATAAATATGCCAATCAAAGCATTGAAATAGGCTGTTGAGCTCAATACAGATACTGAATTCTCCATAAATTGTCAACGATCCAAATCAGTCTTCAAAATGTGTGATCGGGGATAATATATGCGATTAATGGGGAATAAGACTTTACTCTTAAAAATATTAATTGTATTTTCAATGTAATTTGAAACTTTAATACAAAACTATTTATGCTATATGATTGAGAAGGGCCGCCACGGACATAATATTTGCATTTTTTTTCTTCAAGTGTATGAGATCATATATGTTCCATCTTGATGTTTGTTCAACCCGTTTGTGCAAATTCACCAGATAATTGATACTTATGAATTCCATCACAAAAATACTGAATATATAATGACACTATGTTAAATTCTCTACTATCTATATTCTATATACTACATGACTAGAAACGGTTGTATCTTACTCAATAAGACTATTTGATTGTCATAAGGTTGATAACAAGTTATTCGGAAAAGTTCAAACCAATTCAAATTGACAAAAATGAATTTTTACTCAATTTTGTGATAACTTATATTTAGAACTGGCATATTTAATGGTTGTAGATTACGGAAGTTGTATCCCGATTACCCAAATCAGCCAATCGCTTCGTCGGACAGGACCTTGTTCCTGTAATTTTATTCACGATTTGGAGGAAGTTTTGATATGTTGCTCAATTTCTAATACGATGAAATTGGTATTTAATTAATTGGTTAAAATTTATGATTCCTATTTGTTTGCACTACTTGATTCTGCAGTTTTCAAAATTATGTGGACAATAATGTACGCTAAATATATGTGATATAACAGTGCTTTGCATTTTTACTTGGAGGTACGGAAAATATATCGATGTATCGAAAGTGTTCAATGACGATTATCACAAAATAAAATATATATGCTTTTATGAAAGATAAGAATTATTTTCAGCAAATAAATTTAAATATATCCACGCCCACTCGTTTAAAATCGCAACGTACATTTTTAATGTCTTAAATGTTATCCGCTTTACTTGAATTTAATTTTTTTTACATCTGTAAACAAAATGGAGGGCACGTACTTCTAAGAGAATATCACGCAAGATAATCTCTTATCACAAAGTTATGTCGTCCTAACACCCAGTTTCTTTGCCTGATTGAAAATATAAACTTTTGATCACAGTTCACCGACTTAAATCTGAAACTTACTTATTCCATTGGCCCATGACGTTTATTACAATATATACGTGTGAAAACTGGCATCCTATTTTCAAACAAATGTTCATGGGTATTTATAACTTTCATAATAGTGAAAGGATTTCATTATTTTATTTGTAAATTCAATTTAATATATCAGCACCCGTGATGCCCACGTCATTCCGAAGTGCTCTGTTAATTATTGGCCGCACTCGAAATTTGTGAGACTATATTTCCTATCTCAGGAACCCGTTTTCGTTTTGTAATGATATAATATAGCTAATTTATCGAGAAACATTATGGCCGCATGCAAATAACATTATTAACAATGAAAGGGTCATAGATTAGGTTTGTAAATCGTGTGGTTTTGTTAAGCTTTTGTAAAAACTTTTTGTTGACGAGGTGTCTATAAAAATTAATACGTCATTTTGTCGGGGTATAAAATGCAATCAACCAGATAACCATCACTGGTTTTAATAAAAAATGAATCGAGAGTTGAACCCGAGTTATTTTTGTTGACATAAACTTACCGATAACTCTATCCATCGCGTCAAAATTGTGTACGCCATGCCAATTTGATAAACAACAAACTCCTGAAAGTATGCGCTGATTATTTGGTTTCTGCGAGACTAACTACTTATCCTTCTTCCTTTTATGCCGGTGGATCCGTATGCATATATTGCAAGGATGCTGTAGCAAGAGTAGAGATAACAATCCTAAGTGACTTAAGAGTCTTGCTGCACACTAACACAAATATATTTCTGTATGTATGTACTTTTCTTGTTAGAGTTGAACTATGTATGTCTGAAGAAGTCTGACCTTGGTCAGACGAAACGTTACAAAAATATATTTGTGTTAGTGTTCAGCAAGACTCCTGAAAGTATGTCTTATTATTTTCAATTTTATACCAAATTTCGTTCAACAAACATATTTAATTTTGTATTTTTACAAACTAAATTACTTTCACCGGGGAGTATTTTGTTTAAAGTACTCCATTACTACTCTCCGATATTTTAGTCTGTTTTGCAGTTATGTATTTGGAATTTCATGAGATGTTGGTCAAAATTGATCTTTTCGAAGACTAATTGACCGCATAATGCACGTTGTGTATTGATGGATGAAACCGACCCTAAAATTCACTCGTGCATATGGGCTTTGTATTAGATGCAATGAACTGCATACCCTACTTTCTTGCTTGTTGCGTTTAATTTTTCCAAGATATTTATTCGGCAGTATTGACATCATATATTCAGTCATAAAACCGGAGTGCTAACGAAGTGCACCACATTGCTCTGGTTCATACCCGGGCAAATATTTTCTGGATAGCTCGACTAACAACTATACGTTAGTTGACTACGTTGACTACTTAGAAGAATCTCCAAATCTACTTTTTACCATATATATCTGTTTTTGCGAAAAGTTTATAATGGAGATGGTATGATTATCTGCAATGAATTAGACAATTCCACCTCAAGTTGAGTTCTTAGTCGGCAATGTAGTTGATGCAATAATTTTGAAATAGATTTATCGAAAATATTCAAAGTTTCATCTCTGTCTCTTTGTTATATTACCGAACATTTCTTCGGGCGCTTTTTGAGGTTTTAGTGGTTGTTCTGTTCTCATAATAATTCTTGCTTTTTCTTGTACAAACGCATTTCTTGTTGAGAATGTATCCAGCACAATCATTGAAAAAAAAATTCAATATTATAGTTATCTTTCTCACTGAAGCAAACTAAGTAATGCCTATTCGATTGCGTGCAAAACCTGTTGTCTTTGGATCCGTTAGGCTAAGTGCCATTAACCAAACTATCACGTACGTATTCCGTCCGCAGACGCCGATTCGAGCGTGCGATATCTGTTTTGCGGATTAGAGGCTTTAGAATTTTCATCCTGTCATTTTAAACTGGGGCAGTACATAAAACGCAATCACAAATTGCTAACGATGATTATCCCATGCTTGATAAGAATATAGTGGTTCAATCCAAGTCAGAATGTTTATGGATTCAGTTCAAACATTTTCACACTTCGTAGCCAAAGGAGCAGTTTTATACAGATATATATACAACTGTAACATTGTATGATAGGTGAATTGAAAAAATATGCTGGTGTGAAATCATCTTTCTCGCAAGAGATCAGAACATGTTGTGATGGTGTGAACAAGTACAAGCATTCGCTTGATGATGTATCAGATCTTAAACGAAATTATACGTCATTCTGGCAATTAAGAATAAAAAAGTGTCTGCCTTGTATTCTCGAACATATTTTAAAATCGCTACGAAAAGATTGCCCTTTTTTGAATTTTATAAAATAAACAATTCAGTTTAACAGAAGAATTTTTCTTAATTTGTCAACTGCTTTCATCGAATCGACAACTATCGGTTGATGATGCACACCACTCGGGTGGCAAGTTGCGTGTAAAAATGCTAACTCCGGAAATTCTATTTTTTAATACAAGTTATATATTTTACATTATTATACTATTTTTCATTGATCCTAGAAACGTATGAATACTTATCACTTCTTTACCCTCACGCAATACCTAGCCGCGGATGCAATGGCTTCCAAACCAAGAAGATTGCGTTGTACAAAACGATAGCGATAAAAATAACTACAGTGTTGAAAGAAGTGTTAAATTGAAGTTTATCGCAGTTACATGAGATATTTCACAGGATGGGCTCAATTTTATATCTAAGGGTCGACATATATATGGTAAATACCGGGTTAAAAGTCCCAGATTACCATATGTTGTAATATTTAAAACTGTTTATTCTTGTTCGCCATTCATGTGAAACTCTTCTGAGTACAGACAAGTATATATAGGTGCTAATAAAAATTGAATATTCTAGCTCCTATGTTCCCTGGTGTTGAGTACTGGATTATGACGTCTGTGCAAAAATATTGTTCCCTGCGTTGACAATATGTTGCCTAAAACATTCGCAAGCAAGCCAATATTGCAAAATTTACCTGTGGAATTGTTGAAATTTACTTCGAATAAGGTGGGTGGTCTGTGGTCGCGCTTTTGTATAGTAAACCAATGAGTTAGTTTCAACACGGTTTCAACAAAATCATCAAACCCAATCGTGCTATACAAGACCAAAACACTTACTTTCTATTCTGCTTCTTTATTATCTTATTTAAAAAAAAACTTTAAATTTGTAACATGCACTGTATACAAGTTTTACACTCGTTGCGATTTTCCTAAAATTAAATCTACGCTTTTCCTTTTTCTAGGTCGTAACTGCGCAATCAGTTCCTATTTCTCAGAAATACTAAATCTAGCTCAGCCCGAAATTCAGCGTCACTATATAACGGAAGCATCTTACGAGGTAGTGGTTCAATACTGGACTTTGCTTACACATCAAGGATAACTATAACAGGTAGCTACATTGTCCGAATTCAAACAACCGGTATATCCTCTTTTCTATGTTACCAAGTTTATGAATAAATGACTCATTCATAGCTAATTTATAGACATGAATTGGCATCTGTAAATCTCAGAGTCGAATTGTGCAAGAAAATATATAGTAAATGCTGGTGAATTTTCATTTCGTAGATTATGAGTTCGAAACAATGTCACATACATCCTTACAAGACCAAAATACTTGACTAAAAAGATGCGATTAGCCACGAAATGTGTAACGACATACATGTCTTAATGAAGCATCAAACCCACATTCTCCGGCTCATGCTAAACAACCCTGAGACCAACAAGCGAATCTAAGGTGCATGAAGTCAGAGCTTTTGAATACCAATCCCCTCGCCAAATCCTTGATATTGACTTATACTTTTGTCATACAAAAATTCAGGATATGGCCCTAAACCGCTCGTGTGATAATTTTCTATACTTTTTATATTTAGTTTTAAATCTATTTACATATCTTATCGCCTTGAACAGTGTGTTGCATTTCGTGTAACCTACTGCGCAAATTTTAAAATATGTACTCACAATCAGAATGTTGTATATGTGCTATTTTTTTATACATACATAATATTACTAATAAATATTTGGTGATTTTCTTATTTTCCAAGACTTTTCTTGATATAAAAATATTTATTCAATTGTTTTGGTGCTTTGTTTTCTGTTACTTGGGGAATAATAATAGTGCTCACAAAGGCCATAGAAGCATTTGCATGTACTAAATTTTCATACTCGCTAACCTGAATCAGCGTTGAATGTGTCTCTGCTCGAAGACCTATAGAGGTCCATTCGCGACTCCTGTCCCCAAATTGAAGTTAGTTACAATCATTTGATTTCTATCTATAACGTCCTTTTTCATGAAGTGTTTATATTATGTTGACAAATAAATGATGATTGGTTGATTAAATCATGATTTCCTGTTCCTACAGATTCAAACATTCAGCCACTTCTAGCAGCCGCAAGTCATTTTAAGTTTACTTCAGTACGTGCCGCCTGTATGGCTTTTTTAAAGAGAAAAATCAATCCAACAAACTGTATTATCATTGAAAAGTTTGCTTCGGCACAGGTATTTCTACCCCATTTTGAACTATATCTTTCGTAATATGACGAATTCTATTCTGTCATATTATATATAGCATGCTATTTGTTGAGTAAGTTGAATAAATTCTTGGAATTTGTCGGAAGTTCAACCAATTGCCCCAACTAAATGGAGCAAGTGCTAAGCTTATTGATGTATGCTCATCCATAGCTTTAAAAATTTGCAATCTTATTATTCAAAATATATTTTAATACATCAGGCATGTAAAGTTGCCCAAATGTTTTCCGATATTTTTGACTTCTATGTATACAATATATTGAAAGTGCCAGAATTTTTGTCGGAAGGCAACAACAAGTACTTGTAGTGAAGCCATGGTAAGCAGAAATTAGAAGAAAAGATCAACACAATGAACTTTCTCTATCTTTGAAACAGGGATGTACTGAGCTAGCAGTTCATGCTAGGTCGTATGCAATGGAAAATTTTGCAGAAGTTTTTCAAACTCCTGAATTCATGGACCTATCTGTCGATAAACTGCTAAAATATATTTCCAGCGACGACCTCAACGTTCAACTAGAGGAAACGGTGAGAATATTTGTTACTGTACATTTACAACCAAGCTAAATGCGAACATGGCATTTATGTTACCAGAAAACTGCATTCCATTGAAATTAAACCAATAATGAATATCTTCCTGAATCACGTTCCCCAAAATAGGTGTGGTGTTTTGAGAAAGTTTCACCTACCTTTGCATAAATTATATGTTTGCTTCATTGACGAAATCGAGCGATAGTACCTTGTTCCAATCTCCAACTCCATATTTTGTCTTTGTCATTATGAATATGTTAGTATACTTTATTATTAAATTACTTTATTATTGTGACACTAATAAAAAAATCATTAGAATTGCAGAATTTGATGTAGTATTCTGACGTATTGAATCCATTGCTCCTATAAAATCAGGAAAATGAATAAAAATCCTCGGTTCATTAAGTATTGCTCATATTGACAGAAACCTACCACTTTTGGCGACTAATTTCTCTGCGGTCTGCTGGAACACATTTGATACACAAGAATCTCATAAATATGCATTGGGTGCTATTCAAATCAAGGACGCTAAACAATTCGACTAAAATCAGTACATAACTTATACGGAACACGAGAAACCCAATAAGATTATGTATTCCCACAAATCTTTCTGTGAATCGGGTCGGGAAACATTATACTAGGGTGTTTCCTGATTCTATGAACTAAATTCATTTTTTGATTTCAAAGGTATACACAGCAGCCATGTCATGGGTGTGTCATGATCGCATAAAACGAAAGAATTATTTGGCCAAAGTTCTAGAATGTGTCCGACTTCCATTAGTCAGCCTCAGTTTTTATTGGACATTGTTCAAGAAGACAGACTTGTTCGTTCTGTAAAGGTTAGTAGGATCATCGCCAAATTTTAAACGTTTCCAAGCGACAAATTCTTGAGTTAACAGTTGGTATTCACACAGATAGTGTCGTGCTTGTTAACATATTAGCCATTAACCAATGATATACCAGTTAATGTCATGGGTTGCGAAACATGCGCTATAAAACGAATGGAGATAAGATCTTGATTTGTTATGGTGGCATCATTACGTAAAATGACGCTCAACTCTGGTATACTGTATATTAACGACAGTGACGAACAATCAAGGCTTTCAAAGGGTATACAGGCTCACTTACCACATTTAGATTTTGTTATAAACAATATATTCGGAAATTGTGGTGGACGATTTGGAAATTTTAATAACTAATACGCATCTTGTTATTGATTTTTTTTGTTATTTCAGTAACTTTGCCTTATAATTTTCATTCCATTGGATATACTCGAGTCAGTCATAAAAATCAAATCACTGGCAAATGCAGACTACTTTGACGCCTACGTTATAAAACGTCTGGTACCTTTCAACGCGATTAGATGCACCGTCTTATTAACAGTAACATCTCTGACATATTGACAACCAATCACTTTTGTACTTGTATTAATTTTTGTATTGATGATTTCAAAGAACTAAATCGTCTTCTTAATTTCAGGAATGCGAAGTTTTGTTAGACGAAGCTAGACGATTCCAGTTACTTGCAGATCAACGAGCACTTATGCAGAGTTCTCGGACTCAACCGCGAAATTCTTACAAAGCTCAGGTAAACTTGACATTCCCAAAAGTAAGAAAAGACAGTGATTCCAAGAATTATTCAACCGCTCCTTTCTTTAACCGCTGTTTCAATCAAAATTAATTTTCTCATAATTCAAAACTCAAGATGTCGTTTAGGTATAAGTTATTCTTAATGAAAATTTTTTATGAACAAGCATATTTTTCAAGCTGAAAAAATTTTCATCTCACTATCTTGGAAATTTTCCTGGACTGGTAACTAATAGTAAATTTTTTTTTTGTTATTTTATTCATGATGATTTCATAGAAGTAAAAATTCTGTTCAATGTGATATTTATCATATTAGTATATTTTCTAACTATGATAGTATTTAAAAAATGAATTTGCTATCCATAGAAGCCGCCAATTAAGTATTTTGTATGCGCATCTGGATACACATGACAATAAACCATTCTTGAAACACAGCAAGCAAGTTTAAGCAAGCTCATGATAATTTTGTGACCAGAATAGATCAAATTCTCCAACCACAATTAAAGCTGCAATTGCTTGATTATATCGAATAATTTACCAGATTTTCCAAAGCACAGAGTTCTGTTATATTATGCAAAATTGAAATTATTTGTCTTTTCCAGAAAACGGAAATCGTCGTCGTCGTTGGTGGCTTGAACAAAGACAAGTTATTGGTGCCTGAATGTTTTTATTACAGTTTTCCTGAAATATATGGAAAACCACTCGCACCACTGAAAGGTAGTAGTAACATGTGAAGTTTCTCATTTTAAGCAAATTATATCGGATTATCAAGATTGTCTGAAATCTGGCATCACATGAATTTTAATATTGCGTTGCTATTTTAAATGGTGTCACGAATTGGCTTTGTACGAAAGTACCACATTATCTTGTATTGTATGCTCGCTATGATGAATGCGTTAAAGTGAAATTGCGCAGTTTTGTTATTTAACCCTGCAAAGTTACAGTAAAACAAGATTATAACTACATTTATCGGCGAAAGCTTCGTTTACATTCAAAGATATTTAAAATTTATTTAGTTTCTCAGACTGCTTACAGCGTTGCCACTGTCAATAATAATATATTTGTCACTGGAGGAGCATTCAGTAGTGCATGCAATGATGTATGGATGTATGTTCCGAGCCTAGATGTTTGGCAACAGGTATCTAAATTTCTATTAATTTGCATTTTCTAGAGCGAAACTTCGCAAAATATAATTGATCCCAAAATTTAATTCAAGAGCTGACTATTCAATTCTACTTAAGATAAGTCTACTTTATCTCGGAAACTCAGTGGCTTTTCCTATTTTCATCAAACTTTTTAAATATGTATATATATATATATATGTATTTATTTATTCCGTTAAGGTAGCGCCTTTACTTGAAGCCAGATATTTGCACACATCAGTTGGTTTGGGGAATTATTTATATGTTGCCGGTGGACATGATGGCACAAAACGATTAGACTCGGTTGAAAGATATAATCCTGATTCCAACACTTGGATAAGAGTTCAACCTATGCTTGAGGCTCTGAGTTCTCCATCTGCGGTCACTTGCGACGGGTGCTTATATGTTATAGGTAAGTGACTCTCTTTAAATCAAAATGCATATTTCAAGCCTTATTTCAAACTACGTTGTACAGACAATCAGTGGCTTTTGCGTATATTTTTCTCTACTAGGGGGTGCCAAAGGATCGTCTCCAAACGATATTGTTTCAAAAGTCCAATGTTACAATCCTACGTTAAATTCTTGGACTTACCTCGAATCATTGCCACAACCCGAAAGGGGAGCAGTTGTCTCTAATTTAAATGGAATAGTTTATGTTTTGGGTCAACATCGACGAGTTTATGCTTATAACAGGTGAGTGGAAAACTTGAAGAACTTATAACATTAAATATGTACATCTCCAACTCATATTTCAATATTTTGACGATCTCTGATGACTTCTGATCTACATCATTAGCCGAATTAGAATATATAAAATAAATAGCTTAATTAAATGTTTATAGAAATCGATTGAAACGTATCGCCAATACTCCAAAAGTATGTCTTATGAAAATACATTGTTCTCTAGCCAGTGGCGTAGCAAGACTCTCGTGGGCCCCCCCCCGCAAAAATATTTTGTGGAAATGACCTTAAAAACTCTTGGACATGAGCTAAAACAACGTTTTTTTGTTTCGTCAAAAAGCATAACATGTCGCTAAAGGCAATGGTAACCTAAAATTTGCCGTTTATCTTAGTTACTTTAATTTTTCATACGTGCTTTCTCTTCTGCATTTCTGTGCGCCCCTTAGAGGTTTTGCTTTCGACATCATTCTGACAGCCTTCCTAATTTTGCCCGTGCGATCAAACCACAAGACGCCGAAAATCGACGACTCCCTGGCATTGTTACGTAACAAAACGATTTGAGCAGAACTATTATCAACGTTATGAGATGTGCATTACTGGTTTTGCAATGCAACGTTTGGTTTTGCGGCTTAAATTTCTAAATTCTAACCGCTTGGGCCCCTTTGCGCTGTGGGCCCCCCGCGACCGCGGGGGTGGATGCTACGCCACTGTCTCTAGCTCCTTAGAATTGCAAATAACAAGGAAACACCGCCTGGTCGTTTGCGGCAGCTCCTTCCACTATCCTCGCCGATTCCGTTAGAACGTCTAAGTGTTATCCGTTGCTATTTGACTGATACACGACCAAGGTCTGTTAAACCTTTTTTTTCAGTCCTACTCACGAGAATGAGTGTGGAAACACAACTCATGAAAATCAGTTTTTAATGAGCCATGAGATGACGAGATCAGAAAGATAACATCCACTAATGGCCTAGCCCTAAACTATCACGAAATGTATATGATAGAATTTTATCACCAGTTTTCATTTAAAAATAGCAACCGACTAATAAGAAAGTAAAGATAACATGAGTACTGCTTAGCTTACTGCACCAAATCCCTAACCGCAAAAGTCCTACGTACACAGGCAGATCTATGTTTTGAAATGTGTACAGTACCTGTTCCGCCTTATATAACTAAACTTTATTGTATCAAAAACTATAATGCAGAAAACACCTAGTAATATACCTGCACTTGCATCGAGGCAAAATTTTATTCAAACACAGCAGTTCGAGGTGATATATATATCTGTTACACTCCAAGCCATGATGTTACACTTAGAATTGGCATTTAGAACTATATATACATATTTGTTCTCACAGTAGGTCTAAAATGCCGCAGCAACAAATTATGCGTTTCGAAAAATAACGTGTATTGTATATTTGTATTTAACCTATTGTTAGACATGATAATGATTCATCAACAATCAGCAAATTGAAAATACCCAATTTCTGAAGCCGGATTTTTTAAAACCTAAGAAAGCAGTTATTTTTTTTTGCATAGCATCATTAACGAGATATATAAATTTTAGGAACATGATGAAATAGGAAATTACTTTCCTTAGCCTGTCCATTCAAAATTAGAGTATTTGTCCTCTAAAAATGAAGGAAATATTTTGATATCGCTTTGTATGATGGGTCGTGACGGTTGAACTTATTATGAGTGAGTCAATATTATGTTTTAAAAGGCACACGAATCGATGGAAGAAAATGAATAATACAAATGGAGGTCATCTTCATGGAGCGGCTGCAGTTCATAAAGGGAGGCTTTATATTGCAGGTAATTATGTAATCTTATCATTCTTTTTAGTTGGGTAGTTGAAAAAATAGCAAACGATATATGAAACGGCAAACTTTATTGAGTTTCCATGATGGTGAGGTTCGTATATTTTAAAATATGTTTGTGACAAGTTTATAATTGCTTTATTTCATTTTCATTTCAGGAGGTCTCCATGGTAACAATTATATAAATGGTACTGTCGAAATGTACGATCAACTCAACGATTCATGGTGTGTCGTCAGCACTTTGCATACGCCTGTCTATGCACAAGGTTTTGTTAGCATTTATAAGGACCTCAAATAACGTGGCCCTAATGCGTTATCGTGAGTTTCATTCTCGTTGATTGAATATATAACGAAGATTGATGGAGTTTTGAAATTACTCTTTAAATCCAGAATGTTCTAGTAGATTGTTTTTTGTATATTTTTTTCAAACTGATTTAAGATTAATTTGAGTTGGGTTGCGCGAGACTAACTTCCTATCTTTTCTCTATGCCTTTATGCTAGTGGATCCGTATGCTTTTACTGCAAGGATACTGTAGCTGGAATAAACATGACTATTCTATCCAATTAAAGAGTCCAGCTGCACACTAACACAAATGTATTTCTGTAACGTTTCGTCCGACCAGAGTCAGACTTCCTCAGACAAGCAGTTTACAACAATGGCCTATTTAGATTGAAAATAGATGGAGTAAATTATTGCACACTGCCGATTTACTCTCATCGCTTATCTTTCTTACTTTCAATTTTGTTGCAAAAACTGCACGTGGGATTTTTGTAATAGTTTCATCACTTTTTGTTTCTAAAACTTTTAGCTCGTTTTCCAGAGAGTGAATGCAATAGTATACTATTTGTTAGTTGGTGATATTCATGGTATTAGGGATCTATGTACACAAGCATGTCTGCCGTTGCGAAATGTTCCTAATTGTAGCCTTTTCGTCATTCACGTTTTTTTAAATGTGATTCTCCTGCTTCCTTGTGAATTCAAAATTATAAACGAAACCAGTATTTAACCCGAACCTGAGAATTCGATCACCATTATCTTAAACTGATTTACGCAGTGATACGTCAGAGTTCATTGCATCGGTGCAGCAAGACTCGTGCCAAAGATGATAATCTTACGATGGTTATGGGGCCAAGCAAAATGCAGCTTGCATAATAGTATCCGATCCAACATTCATATGGCAATGTGCCTTTCTTTTCTGTAATATTATAAGGTGCAACGTTATTACAATAAACAGCATTGACCGCTTTGTATTTGAGTCAGGATGTTAAATTAAGCAAGTAAAATCACTATATGCGATTAATTTTAAATATTTCTAGTTTTATCCATGTAGAAAGTTGCTGCTTGGTCATTATGCATTGCTTTAATTTTTGTTTTAAATTAATAAATATTTTTCTTACATTGTTTAAGTTATTTAGACTCTAAAACATATTCAAAGCTTGCGGCGAGTATAAGGTAAAAAAGAGAGCGATGCTCAAATACATGGACACCGAGGCCAATACGGAGCAATAGTCTACCTTGCCTTATACAGTAGCTTTCCGTTACCTAGTCTTCTATGTGGTACGATCAGGGAACTTCCGACTTTCTCGTAGCTCGAGAGAGGTCGCAGAACCGCTACAAATAATTTTTATTAATTTTAAAGAGGTCATCACAGAAAATTTCAAAGTGTAAAACGAATTACATAGAGTCCACAGAGATAAAAAAAAAAAAAAAGTTCTAGCGAAAAAAACAATCTTTAACCACTGAAAATTTCGAAGCAAAATTGGTCCATTAGTTAAAGAGTAAAGTGATTTTTCATAGAAGAACAAGGAAATGAAGAACAAGAACGATAAAAAACAATCCATAAGTACATTTGATGTCCAAAAATACTCTTCTCTGCGCTCGTATACATATTATATTATATGTGCATTTTAAAAAAAGTACTACGCAGCAATGACTTGAAGCTGTTGTTCTCAAGCGCCTGTCCGCGCCTCTTTCTTGTCGGTCCGTCAGAAATTTTGTTCATTTGATATTTTTTTCTCAGCGAAATCGCTTGGTTACGGACATTGCTTTATTAGAGGATATGTATTTATAACAAATTTAAAATAATTCAGAAAAACTCAGACTATAAACAATCTGTTATACATTAAGTATTAAGTGACAATTAATTGCAACTTATTAAAATCCCCCAATGAAATGAAAGGCGCGGCGGTGTTGCTCATTGTGCTAAGCGTTAGGAATACGCTCGCCACCGCACCTCTAATTACTGTGCGAGAGGATTGCTGGACTCTTCGCCGCCGTAGGGTGGTTCACGTAACCGCTGGTCGGTTACGGCTTCCTCCGCCATCAAGTCCGTGCTTTCGGAAAACAAGTAACTAACTAATGCCATACACGACATGGAATGGTAACCGGACGAGAGGCCGTGATTCGCCACATGGATAAGCCGTCCTATCCTATCTCTCAAGATCAAGATGTCACAGACTGTGGCCCAGAAGTCTGGTGGTGGTTCTTACGTTTCACGTGCTCAATTGGAATCGTATGTGAAAGCGTTGGTCGGGTACGTGAAAACGCGAGGCACACTACGGTACATTCCTCAGGTTGTACCTAAATTCTCCTCGTACACTCGTTTTCTTTTATTCTTCACGGCGTTTGAGAATGTAACAACATTGCCTATGATTCACACACATGTATCCCTTAAGAAAGGACTGGTATTTTTATCCATATATATATTTATATTTTTTACATTAAAATTTTTCTTACAGACAATAAAGGTGCAATTCTGACAAAATGAGATCAATAATGAAATCAAGGAGATGTTCTACAATAAAAACATGTTCCTGGTTGGAAATTAACTGTTCAAAAGTGGCCAAGCAAACTACATGTACAAATTCCATTCTAATATTTTCCCAGTATTACCAGAAAATAATTTTCAAATGGATAACGGCTGATTTTTTTAAAATGCACATCAGCTAACTTGAAAAAATCTAAATGAATTTTTACATGAAAATAAACAGACGGAAATAAGTAGTGTTCAGTGTATAAAAATAAAAGTAAGTCCTAAATATAAGTTCAAACATCTTGTTTTCCAAAAACGTCTTCAACCAATTCCTTGTAGTTGACTTTGAGAACTGCAGTAACTTGAGAGATATCTCCTGACTGCCATGCAGCATCCAACTGTAAGTTTACAATAAAACTTGTATTGAATACAATGGGTAAAATAAAACGGAGGAAAATTACAATTACTGCATAATGAGATTGAATATAACATAACCTCTTTCCCATTGTGTTAAAAAGTCAAGCTCGAACAAAACATTATGCAGAAAATGAAAATATATTGAAAAAAGATAAGCATTACAAAAGCAATGATTGTTTTCATAAAATTATTGCTTAGAGAAGTACAGGTCAAAACACTCTCATACCTTGACTGGTACTTGCTGATACTGAATTGATGCAACAGGATTTTCTCTCCAGTTAATCTTTGTCACAAATTCAGAATAGTCGATTTCTCCATTTCTTGAAAGTCTAAAGAACAAATATATAATGCAGGTTGAGAGTAAAATGATAATCAGCATGAACAAGGCAGCTTGCAAAGCAAAATTCAAATTTTGGGTAATAATATCTAGTCAAACACAAGGATGGATAATAAAAGAAAAGTCAGACTTACTTCTTCATGAGAACTTGCAATACATCTTCAGGCAGAGGAAGTTTAAATGCTCGACATACGACACGGAGCGTTGATGGATTGAGTGTTCCCTTGCGTTCAATGTCTTCATACGTAAGACTTTCTTGCAATCTAGCAAAATCCTGAAAAATATTTGATACCTTAAATTGATGTATGAAAACTTTCCCTCAAGAGGAAGAAATTCACAATCATTTCTACACAGTAGGTGGAGGTCTGATGTGATACATTAACTGTGAATTATAATTGTCATCTGCATTCACAACAAGGGGAACAAATATAAATAAGCAAATTAGAATAGTCAGAAGTTGTATCAAACTTAAGAATATTGGTACAATGATGTCAGCATTACTGCCAATACCTCGAAGTTCTTCTTTTTCAGTTTTTCTTGTGCAACTGCCAATACAAGAGTCATATCAACTTCCTCTGGTGCACGGTGTGCATAACGTCTTCCAATTGTCATTATCTCATGTTCTGAGAATGTTTTAAGCTGGGCAAGCAAGTTTCTGAGAAAAAGAAAACATACCTAATATCAATAGTTAAAATAAGGGTGTATCATTCCATGAGAAGGTTTTTAAAATATAGTTACATTACAGCAGAATGAATTTATCTCCATACATTAAACTATAAACATAATAGACTAATTTCAATTTCATTTTGTTTCAACTGTCAGGTTGTGCTTGTTTATCACCTGGAAGTTAAATAGATATGACAAGTAAAACAGCTCCTGACAGGGAAATATTGATTCAGATCATTTTGCGAACCTGAAACTTTCATATCTGATAGTCTCTCCTCCCTCAGGATCATTCATGACAAAGAATTCTTTGATGTCTTTCACCTTATCTTTTGCTGCAGATCTTAATTTGTCAATGATGACAGACATGTTTGCAACAGGGAACTAGGAAAATGTACAATGGTTAGGATGGGTATAATACCAAAGAAAAGCAGGCAGTTGTTGTCAAAAGAGACACCAACTGTGTCCACACACAGCAGTTAGGTCCCATTGCGACATTTTTTAGTTTAAAACATGGTGGGTGGTTTTGAACCCAGTCACAAATTTAAAATATTCGTCTACCTACAAAAACAATGGTAAATGGTGACCAAATGACAGTAGATATTTACACATGTATAAACTCTATGTACTTTCTCATCTCTTGAAACTACTACTGAATGCAATATAAGAATGAGTCACCTCATCCTCGTGTTTTTCCATATATCTGAATGCATATTCATCAGCATCAACAATTGTGAAGTTGAAATCATTGATGGTAACATTTGCTCCAACAAAGAAATCTTGAGCAGTGAAATATTCTGACATTTCACTCTTAAATATCTCTTGACTCGGTTTCTTAATTCTTCCTCTCTCGAGAAATTTGCCACCAATGATACCTGGTGTGAAAGGAAATTGAAAGAAAGGGAATTATAACTTACTATAAGACCATATTTTTTAAATTTTGTGACTAGTGATGAAGCATTAAACAGATATTTGATGTCACAGCATTATGAATATGTTATTGAAAATGACTATCTTATGACAATTTTGTCAAAAGTGTTTGATACAAAGGTGTAATCAATTTTTCTGAAATTAAAAGTTTTATATTCATTTTGGACATTACCTGAGCCCAGTTGAAATTGTCAATGTGGATTTATTTCTAATCGATGATTCCTTCCCATTGCAGATTTTGAGTTGAAAAACTAAAGTCATGAAACATACCTGAATTTCGTTGTGGAGGTTCAAACACAGAAACAGTATCATCAGATAAAAAGTAAGAAATAATGAATTTGCGATCTTTATCAATTGGACTATCTGTTGACATGTAAGCGACAAATCGAAGAACATTGCTTTCCAATCCATGCCTGCCAATATAAGTCCATAATTATTTTTTATAATCAGTACTCAGTACTATTAAATGTTCCTTCCTATGGGTGTCGCTGCTTGTTAATGTTAACCAGTATTGGTTTTTCGCGACTCCCAACACCATGAAATGCCCTTTTTACTTTTTTTTTTGTATTGTTCGTACTAAGTGTATTTTCATGATGGTGAAAAAATAAAATACTGATTACTAAATTTGGTAAGCTCTGACGTATCTAAATAGACCTGACGATTGTCTATTAATCAGAAAAATGCCTGCCTGAATGGCCTCACAGATTGAAAAATCATGCTGGGAATATATATGGTTGAACGGATTAATAAACGTCTCCTCGTCACAATGTATCTCTGGTTGCTTTTGGCATTGTCCACAATTCAAGTTCATGTAACGAAATGACTAACTGCCAAGCTATTCTCATAACAAACCTGGGTTAGAAACTGGGAGCAAACTCATTGTCCGACATATTCGGTCCCTATCTCCAGGACAAATATGAAAATACCTATCCAGCTATCCTATTCATGTACACCAATGATAATAGGCATGAAACAAAACATTTTATAACACAATACACGCATTGCTTCCAGAGTTTTCAATTATTTCATATACAGCGTCAAAACTATACTTTGAATCAGATATATGGTTTTATGTTAGTATTCGAACCATTGCAAAACAACATTGCAAATGGGTGACATATAAAAAAGAATTCTAGCCTTTTATCACTGGCAGTGCATAGCGGAGAACAAAATGACCTCCCTGTCTCTCTCAATAAACTTGAAAAAGTCAAGCTGAGGAACAAAATAACCTACCTGTCTCTCTCCATAAACTTAATAAAGTCAAGCTGAGGAGGTTTAGGTATGAGGCCCATGCATGAGCACAATGAGTCTTCTTCTGATCCAAATCCATTATATGGAGGAACTGGTCTTGGTACTTGCGGTTTACTGTCAGCCTTGTATTTGATGGGAGTGAAATCATCTGGTAATAAATATTAATATTATAGCTTTTGATAATTTATATTTGAAAAAATATATATGGTATGCAGTATGCTGATTAATACAATGATGCAATCATCTTTTTATCTCAGACTTCAAACCTAGAATAGCTATGTTAGAAGAGGTAAATCTTGCACACAATTACAAAAAGACTAAAACACTCACCAATTCCATATTTTGATTTGTAAAATTCTTTGGTGAAATTATCACTGTCACATAGCACTAGTTTTCTTCCCCAAACATTGAGAACAGCTCCGATCACCAAATCAGCATCAGTGTAGTAATCTTCATAGACTGCACCAGTCTGATGAGTTAAAATATTTGTTGTAATCACTAAAGACAGACTAAATATTGTATAGTAGGAATAAATATAGTTATCACTTACTTGTACATGACGAAACTTGTACATGACGAAAGAGTGGAAGATAACAAAACTTTACCTTCAAACTGTCCAGGATATATCTTCCTCCATGTCCCATGGGTCCAAAAACATTCAGCACAGTTCGATCAGTTTTTTCTCCTGGTTGTCTCAGTGGAAGAGGAGCATTCTGTCAAAAAAACAATTCTTTCAAGAGAAAATTGATAATTTGTTAATTATTTGCTATTTGCCCAAAATGAGATTTTTCACAAGCAGCCAGAAAAATTAGATATAATTGTAATAAATAACCAGCCACACTATCATGACTAGGCAAGAACATATACAGTTGGTCCTTGTACCCAAATTATGGATCGAAAATTGTAAGTGAATAAGTACTGATGTTCACATAAATTTGAAAATCTAGGTATAAGATGATATATGATCATGGTAAAATCATTGACTACAATAGTGGTTTGTTGCCAGGAGGAGTTACACATTGTCTCTTCATACTTCAAATTGTTATGATATTGACGTACCTTGGGTAATCTAGCTCGTTTAACAAATACAGGTACTGCATCCCGTCCTGAGTTGGGTTGAATGACTTCGCGAATTTCAACCGTGTCATCAGCAAGAAAATAATGGAGAACCTTGATCAAGAAAGACAAGCAATGGTTAGCTATGTGTAGCACAGACACATAAACACAAATGCCTTTGTTTTGGTACTCATATAAGTATACACATAAGCTAAGAGTCGGAACCATTTGAAAACATATTTCAGACATTTGTTCAGACAAAAGACTATTGTGAATTTTTTTAAATAATCATCCCACGTAAGATTTCGATGTAAATCTCCCAAGCTCAAAGTCATTGATTAGTAATTCAAATCATAATATTCATACACCAGTACTTGGATATTCCATGTTCACACTCATACGTACACATACTACGTCCCTGTGCCCGTCATCTTGGTTCGCATACTACAGGAGTACCCCAAAAACAACTATTGATGTGCAAAGAAGTTTCTATCTTTTGTCAATACAAGAGTTGATAGGAAAATATTGTCAAGCCTCACCATTTCCCTTGTATCTCCGAACATACAATCACCGTCATCCCAAAAACACCAAAATCTAAAAAATAAAATAAATTAATCATCACTGGTAGATGCAAACCAACAAATTCAATTGAATTTCAGTTTACCTCAGAACATGTCTATCATGGCTCAAGAATTGTTTCAATGTATCAGTGCGTTCATATGGTCGAAGAGGTTGCATGCTTTCCTCCATCTGCAACATAACATAGTATTTTTTACACCATCATATTCCATTACTACTCCATATTAATTTTTAAAAAATATTTGTCTCTAGAATTTTGAAAATCCATAACACACTATACTTTCAAAATGGGGGGTAGGGGGTTGGTGGAATATACAAGATTTTTTATTTCCCATTTCACTAGAGCTGGGAGCCTTAATGCTATCAGCCATTTAGTGGAATATATAATATCGATTGTCTGTTAGAAATGATAGATTTCCCTATTATAAAATTACAAAATGAACAAAAATGGTTCGTTAAAAAAAGAAACATATACAATCAGTCAAAACATACGTACGTCCTGTCTCAATGATGTATATGGATCATCTGGAGTTCTTTCCGAGTTGGACACTCGTACCCCGAGTTTACGCAAGAAATTACGGGTGAATTCATCACAATCCATCAACTTGAATTTTCTGTCAAAAAAATTATAAATTAATTACCAATACATTATTTGATACACTGCGATTTTTTAATGTTAATAAAGTATCATCCTGCAAGTTATTTTACTGAATAATACTTTTCCATTCATTATTTGTTGAACTTAAAATAAAGGCTTAATACTCACCTTCCATAAAGAACAATCTCATTTCCCACATTGAAATGTTCAACGGTATAAAACTGATCATCATTTGGAGCTGGTAAGGGAATTCTGTGGCGTCTGATTAAAGTTCCTTGAGGAATTCCAGAATTTTTAACCTGAAAAAAGAATTCAGCTAATGAGTTAATATTGTAGCTCCTTAAAAGAGTGAACAGTATGCAAGTATCTAAATAAAACACAACTTTGCGAAAAAATAGACAATAATATAGGTTCATTATTACCGTTGGTTCGATCACTTGTATAGAATCATCCTCCAAGTAAAAATAGATTTTACAATTTCGAATACGAAACTGTTCTTCCCGTTTTTCATGCACAGCCTCTTGGAAATAGGCTTGAAAGCATAAGACCTGACATCAAAAGAAAAGCAATATTCATTATTGCTTGACCAATGATAATATTAAATAAAGTAATAATAAAGTGGGACTAGTGAATTAAGTAGGTGAGAGTGGTTTGCAAATAATTTATTTATTCTTTCATGAATTTTCTATATTATCGAAACATAATCAATAACACAGTGCCCGATTCATTAAAGATGAAGCTTTGAGTCCAGCAAGATGAATTTTTCATCTTGATTCTATAATATATATTTCAGTAACTAGACCTTTACTTTAAATCAAAACAGGAACATAAAATATCATAGTCCAAAACAACCTAAATCATGCACATAAATCCAGTTTAGTCTTGACATTTATTAGGATTACCAACTAACCCACACACCTGCCTATCGAATGCCACCCATGTTGGTGCATTGCTTCCCTCTCCTCTTGGAAAAACACTGTTCTTAGGTTTTTTCTTCTGACCAAGTAACGGTTCTCCACCAATCCCTGGTTTCTCTTCTCCAGTCAACATTGCTACTTCATTGTTATAATCGAAATGATGTGATTTGTGAAATCTCTCTTTCCCAAGCTGTTTCAAAACATTTGTCATCAAAATATTGTTGGTGCAATATTAGATTAATGATATTCCAATTGAAAATGTCTGACAATAAAAATCAATGTTGACACTGTATGGGACAAAACTACTGAGAATCACATTATCCAAATGCTCAAAATTAACCAAAATTTTTATAATATATTTATAATTTTTATAATATTAAAACTCAGGTAGCCTATAAATCTTTTTAAATTCAATATCATGAGATAAACCACACTATCTTAATTAAGTTCCCCATGTTTAAAAATGATGTGGTGAAATAAATAGACACTATCAGCAGCATTGTGTACTACTTTATTAGTGATATAAAGTATATTAGTGAAAGTGTCATAAAATATGTTCTGATAAAATATAGGTATAGGGTATTGCTGAAAGATATTCAGTTCCCGAAGCCCTGCATTGTAATATTTTTTCAGTCAGTATTTGTATTTATCGTTATTTGTATTTTATTCTTTATATATAACCGTATAATGTTGTCTATTTTACTTAGTTAAATTGAATCTAATCAATACCAACCTTTGTTAGAAAGGGTGAAACGGAAACCGATTCATCAAGAAAACGAAATTTCAAGTTCTCATATGCAAAATTGAAGAATGTACTTGATCCAAACATCCCACATACAAATGGTATTGAAAGCGATACGGCAATCGGTTTTTACCGTTTTGACCTTTACTTTTTATTCCAGAAATTGCAGTCATATGAACATTTATTAGCAAATTTCGAGATTCAATATTCAAGGGGGAAATTACCATAAAACATTTTCCAGATTTGGTGCCTTTCTGCAGTTCTAGCGTATGAGATTAGGCTACTGGATTAACAACAAAGTACTGAATCAAACTCACCCTGAGATTAAAATTGTTTCCAGGTAGACACGGAAGAGACATGATCCCAAATTAAATCTGTTCTTTTATAATTTTCGCTAATTAAATAGTAATAATACTAATTTAGATTCGATCAAAAAGACGACCGAGGTAAGTTTCGATCCAGAGCGTCAGCAACAACTCGGTGATTGGATTGGTAACCATGGCAATGAAATTTGATCATCTCTGTGCTTGCGCGCCACATGTGTTCAACCACAACACATAGAACAAGAAGTGCTGATGTTGGGATGATTGTTGTTGTTAGAAAATCTTTCCCTTTTCTCGAAACTAATGTGCCAATCAATTTCAAATTTTTAGCACTCCCATATGAAAGAAATCGACAGATGGTAATTATTTATGATTCTTTTTCCAAGTGTCCCCTATGACTTATCTGGGATCTCAACCATAATTTTGCTAATACGCGAACATATTTACAACTCTCTTATCAATTATGTTTCCTTCAGACAAAATTCATTTTTCTATAAACAACACATATATATGTTACTAAATATATTTTGTCTGCATATCCCATATTATTGAATACAGACTGAGGTACATATATTTTTAGTTGATTTTATTTTTTCCTCTTAGTATTCAAATTGATTTTGAAGCAGTAACAATTGGTGCTGGTTTGCAAAATGGACAAGTGTTGCAATGGTTGTGCTGGTGAACTCGCTCGCCAGATTTTTAATTATCTAAACTTCACTAAAACTTCTTTTTTGTTATCATTTCAAGTGTGTGCATTGATCAACGCATCTTTAATTAAAAACAAATTTTGTATTATGGAAAATAGATTGTTGCGATGCGTGGTAAATATTAAAATGTCATGACTTGGTACAATGAACGTGAAGGCATGGCCATGGCTGTTCATTTGAAAAATAGTTTGTGGTTAAAATCCAGTTTGATGGCAGAAGCTTTTCAAAATTTTTTGCTTTCGCCAAAATATTATATGCCTCTATAAATTTTAAACTTAAACTCATGTGACTTGACACTCTTCTTTTACGAAATGTTTTATTTCGGCTGACCCATCTACTTCCCATGATTATTTTAGAAAGGTAATAGGCGCTAAACGTGTCAATCGATGTGACAATATATTACGATAGTATGTTTTGTACAGAATTATTAAAAATTGTCGAGTGATTAGGCCACCATTTGTGTAGTCTACCAGTGGCGGCGCGTCAATAGGGCCAACCGGGGCAATGCCCCGGTTGTTTTTTCGGTATAATAAAAAATATTCGAAAAATACCTCAATATCGGTTGCACAGACTGTCTACACTAGCCATATTCTCCCGACATGGTTCATTTTTCGCTCGCAAATCCTTCGCCGAACGTCGACGGGGCGACGCCGATTTTGCCCCGGTTGCTCATTGTATATCGTATTCTCTCTTTTATCTTCCACTCGCCGCGTTTGTCTCGTTTGTTTTCTGTTTCTTTTACTTAATCATCGGGGCCGATCGGGGCTAGCCCCGAAATTATGACGACACAATGCCGACGTTTCTTACAACAACGTGTTGACATGTTCACGCATTCCTTCTCGTTCGTTGGTTGCTTGAAGAGTTGATAGTTTCCTCGCCTTCGTTTTTGTCGCTTGTTTCGCTATTTGAATCAGTTAGCGACCTTTAGTCCATTTGCTTTCGATTTTCCACATTCCTTTTGAGCTCCTTCCTCACTTCTTTCCGGCTTCGCATTTCTTAGCCTTAGACCTCATTATGAATAAGGTTGATGCACTACTTCGCACTCCGTTTTCGCAGCTGCCGCTGGAACAAAAATTAGAAGTACAACGTCTTGGGCCTTATCAACCAAAAAATTGTTCACTGGAACAATCCCATGACGGAGGAAAGCGTCGGCCTACATTCTGCGCAGAAACTTGGTATTAAAAACACGAATGGTTGTGTTACAGCGAGGACAAAAATGCACTTTTTTGTTTTTATTGCCTGCTTTTTGCTACCGCCAGTGATCCGAGCGTGCCAGGGATCATCAATCTTCTATGGGGCATCTGGACAATGCAGTAAAATACCGAACATTCGGAAATGTTAATATTTTCCGAAGTTTCTGTTGATATGTCATCGTTTTTATCTGGGTAAATATTGCCTTTCCTTTTGAAAGAGGTTTCAAAATAAACTATGTCTATATTTATTAATCCCTTGACTTGGACCGGTTTTAAATACACTTTCTTATCGTTAAAAATTGTCGCTTTTGCCGATTGGTTGTTACCGATGGAATGGTTTTTATACTCATAAAATGATGGGAGAACTTACAGCGCTCATCCTGTCCCCGTAGATGGGGGTGACTTGGTCCCGCAGTAGCTTGCCCCGGTTGTCAAAATGACCACGCGCCGCCACTGTAGTCTACAATATATTCACTCTGTTAAAGAAAACCAACCCATCACAAATACTCACCAGCTGTTAACTTTATGGAAGTATAAAAATTTGTGTGATAATGGGTTTGTAACAATATCAACCATTTCAAATGAAATGAAGCTCAAATTATTTGTATTATGTGGAATGTACTAATATTTACTACAAATTGGTACATTATAAATTCATTCTGAAGGAAATGCGAGAGGGTATCTGAAACAGAATCTCTAATCAGTGGCGTAGCGACGAAATGTGCCGACTCTGGATTTTTGCACGAAATGCCCCAACTCCCCCGAATAAAAATAACGAAAAACCAACAAAATTTGATCGAAATCAGATGTTAAAACGTGGCCCCAATTCGGTACGTTGTATTGTGGGATATCTGCCAGTCTGGACTGAAATTTTGATTTGTAATGGTTCATGATTGTGTTGTTAGACTATAGCTGGAAAATTTACTTTTTATATTAGGAGAAATGTCTTCCAAAACTTGCAGAATACATTCGCGGAAAAATTCCTCTTCAGCAAACGGGCGATTATTTTTAGCGACGTTACAATTAGGGCTGGGCATTTCGAATCGAATAGTAAATTATTCGAATCGGTTCAGAGCTAAATTTCGAATCGCCGCCATTTTGTTTTTATCTTTCCGCTAATGGTCGAGGTGAATTCCCCAAATTTTTTTTCATTGGAGTCCTATTTTTTTAACTAAATTCTAACATATGACTATTTTCTGTAGTGAGGTATTGATAAAACGTGTTTGTTTTTCTGTGTGAACGCTCAGTAATCTATCTGAGTGATTTATTCTATGTCTTCAGTAATTCATTTGTTGAGAGGACCAATTACTATATTAAAGTCGCTTACAATTATATATTTTCAAGCATTCGAGATTCGATTCGATTCGAAAAAAATTATTCGATTCGATTCTGAAATCACAAGACATTCGAAAATGCCCAGCCCTAGTTACAATATAACTGGTCAATAACGTGGATTCACTTTCATTTGACGTTTTATGATCTTCGTTTGACTTTTGTCTGAATTTAACGACGAATTAAATTTTGAAAAACGCCGCTCACGCTTCAACTGATCATAATTTGATAATGCTTCGTCTCATAATCGCGTCCAATGTTATATTGCATCAGAACTGGAATATCTTGTTGGCAAGGAAGACAAATCACTGAAATTTGATTCTTTTCAAAAAAGAAATAAGAACACTGCCATTTATCCAAAAACGTCTGTTTTCAGTGTCTAGTTTTTGTTTTTTTAACATCTTTAAGCTTCCTTAATTTAGGGTTGATAAATAAAATACCGCCGTATGTAATTCTATTGCAGGTACGTATACAAAAAATACCGTTATAATTGAATTATTACGAACATACACGTGCTCAAAGTGTGAAAATAATGTAACAATTTGCCGTATCTAGAGCGCAAGAAGGTAAACACTTGAAGTGTTAAACGTACTGTATTGGTATTCATTTACGTTTCACCATTAAACTATTGCAATAAAGTTCGGCGGGCCTTTTTAAATCGTTACGCGGGCCGCAATTGACCCGCGGTTTGGATCCCCTGATATGCTGTATTGTGTGACACGGACTGTGAACTGCATGTTCATAAAGTACTAATAAAGTGAATACGGTATATATGCGGTAATCAAAAGTGTGTGGTGAACAGAGCGTAGGAGCAGTGTAAGTATATACGAGTTTCTTGAAAGACTTTTTATTGGCATATTCTTACCAATGTTTACTTCTGTTTTTTATTGTACTCAAATCTCAAACGTTTTCCAAAATAATATTACATCATTTGGTGATTATCATTGGGATCTTATATTCCAAACGGATTTGATATTGACATATCATGGGAGATACACAGCACTTCTTTGATACATGTTTTAGTCCTGGTGGATTTGACTTTTATCTCCCAGCCTAATATGTTATAGTGGGCCATCCATTAAAGTCAATATATATATATGTGGCTTCTATTCCATCTCATTTCAAAGAAAGCTCAATCAAAAAGATACATTCTGCAGCCCTCAAGTCTGACAGTGATAACCTTAACTCTTAAGTCAATTTGTGTCTTCAAGTCAAATGTAATGGAACCATATATTTAGGATTTGGTGGTATGGGCCAAGCCGTATTGTGTCAGCTTCACGATAGCCACTTGATAGGCCACCATTGGGGTATGCCGACGCTCCTATATCGTAGCCTTCACAGCTCAGTATTAGGGTGCTCCCGAAGTATTCGTATCAAGATGGCGCACAACCTGAACACAGTATCTTACCTGTACCAGGTTAGGTTGTGCGTCATCTTGGTACGAATATTTTCGGAGCGAAAGTATTAGTGCCATGGGCCTGATTTGGGGACTCCCACTTTAAATCCGCCATAGGGCGTTAATCAGTCCACAGAAACGCTTGAGTAGCGTCGCGGGTTGTCCGCCAGTGTCATTTGACGCCGTGGTTCTGAACCGCCGTAAGAGTTTTACCTCCTATTGATGCGTAAACCAAACTTGGTCCGAGGTCCTACGCCCATTTCAAGCTCTAAATAAACGATTGGATGACATTGTCACAGTCTTGGATATCGCTTAAAAATAAATATCCCGATCTCCGCGACAAAGCCATTATATCACTGCTGATTTTGTGCACTTGATGCGTGAACTTGTCGTACTTATGTGAGAAAGCTTCTTACCGGTATCTGCCACCAAGACCAAACAGAGATATCGTGTTCATTGGAGCCGCGTCTAACACGTATGCTATCAAAAAAAAGCAGCAAATTTCTCATTAAAATTTTGCTCTCGAATTGCATAGCTTTGTCGTAATCACATTTGTCCAATTAGGTTTTCCGTTATCGATATTTTGAAGGTTCATCGATCAGCAAAAGTTTTCAGTTTTGAGATTTTACCGTTTCGCAAACTAAAAAAAGGGTTGAGAACCACTGGTTTTGGGGACAGAATCCGATGACGGATCCGTTCATTAACGCCTCAATTGGGCCACCATTGGGAAATTCGCTGTAGACCCTCTGATGGTCCGCTAGATCTATGTTATCTTGGTAATATTCTAATAAAAAGGTGGATATCTCTCACATACGGAATGGGGTAATCGTCACCAGAGATTGAAACATATACCAATTGTTAATCTTGCGAGCAAAACCATTTAAAACTTAGCCCCCAATAAAATGAAGTCAGCGATTCGAAAGTATACACTGAGAAAATTGATTTTTGTTATGCTTTTTACATAATTTATTGGTATAAACAGATTTAGAAGTCTCGTACATGGTTTGTAATTTAATATGAAAATTGAATGCTAATGATGCAAATCAGGTTCACTTATAATCGCAACTTCTATGAACCGTGGGTTGCTTCATTCAACTCCATTCTTGCTAAAAATGAATATCGCTAAGAGCATAAGGGACCAACTGTGTTGGCATCGCAGGTCACAACTCTGTCTCAAATCTCATGCCCACCTCACCTAGTATAATACAGGGTGTACAAAAAGTTTCGCCCGATTATAAAGACTTTATAATCAAATGTTATTTTTTTTTAATTTAAAAAAAGATTTATAGTCAACCTGTTTCTAATTAGATGTTATAGATGTTGAATGTTGTAGTCCCCATTTATCATACAACAAAATTTATTCAAATTTGAAATTAGTAATGCTATGAAATCGGGCGGAACTTTTTGGACACCCTGTATATTGGATGGGTAGGCAGTGTTGACTGTTGAGCCGGGAAGATTCCGCCAATTTCAAGTATATACCTGATAAGCAGACTTAACCATGGGACAGACTTCTTTATCAAAACAGACACTCCACAGTTTGCAAGAATAAAACCTCCCTCTACCAATGATCGATATTGAACTTCTGAATGTAACTACACACTTGTAGGTCCCACCAAGAATTGCATTTTATTAACTATGTCACACCACACAGATAGATAATCTTGTAATGTCTGATAAATCCTTTTTGAGACTAGATTATCAGACAAGATTAATTACTATGAATTACTCTATGAATGGGTGGGTAATTTAATCATCTGGCAACAATATACTCCTGCTCACCTAGTTAAATTTTACACTTTGTTCATCCAAGTTGAAACTATAATACAAAGCATTTTATGAAGCAATGTTCAAAATTTCGTAATTTTGTCCGTTTGCTCAATTTATTTTCCTTGGCTTGATGAAATTGACATAAACATACCAGTCTGATACCAAAATACAGAATTTAAATAAAAAATGCAACATTGCATCTTTCACAGAACTCAGTCAATGCTTATATCATTCATAGTTAATTACCCAAGATCCCTGTGACAGGACGGATTTGTTTTAGTCGTCAACAACAGCATGGTAACAACTAACACAGGATTGCATCACGCTTGATCATGAAGTGAACATTTTCTTTTCTCTCAGTAAATCTTTCTTCACAGATTGCAATGTGCTTGAATATTCTCGCTCTTATTTTCAGCTGTTGGGTCTTTGAGGTTTTGAAGAACTTGTAAAAGAGCTGTTTTGTCCGCAGATTCATTTTCAATGTACGCCTGGAAAAATATACTCTAGTAGTATTCAAATTCTTCGTATAAATAGAGAGCTAAGAAAATATTAAAATATTCTCTCACATTTAAAAATATTTAGCAATTATAGAGATCTTATAAGTTGTACTGGATGCCCACCAACGTCTCATTGGGTTTGTATACTGTTTCCTATATAATGTTCATCCTTAAGAGAACAGAAACCTTCATAAATATATTTCACTTCCACTACCATACCTCAATGATTGTTATGTCTTCAGGGGAATCCATTAAATCAATGAAGGATTTTGTTTTACAGTTTGGATGTAATAAGGTAAGAAGTCTGATACAATCAACAGCATCCTCTATCCTGTAGACATAGACATACCATGGTGTAGAGTAATAATTAAACATATGTGCAACGATCAATTTAGTAATATATATGTGTTAGTTTTGCTAAATTTTCCTATTATTCCTCATTTAACACAATCAGTGACTTACAGGGGTAGCTATGGTTCCATCGTTTTAAAAGATGTAGAATGTGAATAAAAAGCAGTAATGCCACAATATATTGGAACCTAATAGCACAACCTGAGCCGAGACTATAAAATTGTAGTTTAAAACTGGTTAGTTAGCACAAATTTGTTACTCTTGGTCACCATAAAACACCAACACACACAGTTGACTGCTCAAATTTGCAAGGAACACATTTGTGTTCAAATTAAAACCTGAATCACTAATCTTAAAATATTTTAAAGTATTAAGTATAACTTTAAATGAATATTTCAATGATAAAAAAGTTTTCAAGGATACGTATGCCCTTTTGTCAAGGGTATACTAGAAAAAAGTATAGGCCTATACCATTTCACTGATATAGAAGTTTTGAAGCCATTGAAGGATACATTCAAGGATTCCCTTTTGTCAAGAGTAAATCATTTACTAAGAAAATGCTAGATATATGAACAAATCTCAAACGACAGAGTCTCAAAACAATGAATTAGAAATGTAAGAAATATGTGCACTTACATATTATTTTGAAGCATATCTAAAATAAGGCTATCAATCAAAAAGTTTTTCGTCAGGAAGTACACAAGGCCTCCAAAATATCTTGTAGCTCTAAACAGTAAATGATAAAGAGATAAAAGTCCCCTAATGCATTTGTGACTATAAATATTGGCATTAAATTAGATTGGAAACATTAGATTATTAAAAAAGCAATGTTTGTTTGTAAGGGTGAGTTGTTATCACCAAATCCTTTTTATATTGACTGCCTATGCTTCATAAATATATAACCTACTGCAGTTTCAATACCATACCTGTGTACTACTGTGTTTCAGAGAATAATAATGATATGGTGAGAGCAGACACAAACATATAAGACAAATTACCTAAAAAATATCTAGCAGTATGCCATAGTTAAAAAGTATACTTTTACCTTAATAAATGATAATACTTTTTTTCCTCAATGTTTCTGTAAACTGCTTCAAAAATCTCCAGGTATTTAGGTGAATCAGGTTCAAATTGAATTACGCACTGATCCAATGCATTTTCATGAATATTTTGCTCAAATACATTCTAGATTAGGAAAAAATGGTTGATTAATTTAAGGTCGAAACATTTTAGTCAAAGAAATTTTAGAACAACTGAGATAAATTCAACTCATGATTTTGATAAATTGATAAATCTACCTTTTACATAAAATAGATTGAAGCCACATGACTGCAACATGGTGATTGGTACGAAAACTAACCGAACAAACCTGTAATTAATGAAGCCTACAGTATATCTACTATTTGAATCATATAAAAAAAGTGGATTATAGTGGATCCATAACACACTAAAATGGGAAATAACAACCCAACCCCTCGCATCAGAAAAAAAAGGATTCAGAATTAAAAAAAATTCTAAAGATAAAAATAAACTACCTCCAAATGCTGTGTTTTAAACAATAATGGTGGTACAATTTTTCTACCAAGAACAGGATAGTAAAGATTTATCAATCTGTCTCTCTCATCCCAGTTCGCTTTTCTGAGTTTTCCATTTGTTTCTCTAACAACAATGAAACGTTCCTGAAATTATTTGAATGGTATGTAGCATGATAACTTTATTTAGCTCGTCAAAGACAAACTGTATACTACGCATATGTGGAATGAAACTGATTAATTCATAAGAACAGGATCATACCCTATTTTTAATATTTTCTGAAATATCAACAAAAGATAAATTGCTATCTTCATATCCGTCAAGAATATCATCATTTGATAAATATTTGTTACAAGTTTTCCTTTTCAGCATCACCAGAGGCATTTCAATTTTCTCATTCATCGATTCTCTAATTTTTTCCATTTCCTGAAAAGTTCAAAGAGAAAGTTTTAGAAATATGAGAAAACTATACAAAAGCTATAATTATTTACAATTAATGAAGTTAGAAAAATGAGCATTACTAAGAATACACCAATATAATATTTGAACGAAATCTAAAATCAGGAAGTTGAACTGGAAATGTGTTCAATAAACCTATACTTATATGCAACAAGCTCATAAAAATAGTAAATTCCACACGAATGATAATTCTGGTTCAACAGCTGTTGACTACATACTTCTTTTAATTGGTTGTCAGTAAGATATCGAAGTGTGGGCATTTGTTTTCTTTCTGTTATCGTTGATTTATAAACTAGGTCTGCTGCACATCTGTAATGTATTCTTTGCAATAATTCTTGAACATCCTCTCTGTAAAATGAAAAAACAATTGCTACAGAATTGCTACAGAAACAATTTTGTCATCTTATAAAATATGATAACATTTACAAATTCATCCTGGGGGAGAGTAAAGAACCACCCTAAGGCAGGAGGAGCCCAGCAATCCTTTCGCACATAAATATTCCCCACAGGAATCAAGCCTGCGAACATAGGCAAGGTAATCAGACGAACGGTGGTAAGTGTATTAGCATGATGCGTCACGCTGGCGCATAATATAATATCTCATTGAACTGAAATAGAAAGTGCCAAGGTTAGCATGATTGACTGATTATTAGGGTTTGAGAAGCTGGTTAACTTAAATGCAAATATTGCATAAACACCGACCACAGTGTATAGGCCTTTTGGAAACAGTAACAAGTTGATCAGCTATCTAGTTGACACAAATGAAATACTTTGTATATAGAAATATATGAAGAATAAATACTGATTCCAAAACTATCCAGAATCCTTAAATTGTTGGCAGGTAATATTATGATTTCTTTCTGCAAATTAGCATTTATGGTGCAAAAATGTGAATTGTCTAGTAACACACCTGACAAAATCTGGATCAATATTATTGATTGAATCTAGTCTTTGACTTGCACCTTCCGATGGGATGGTTTCACCAAGCAGCAAATCAGAAGTTTCATCTAGTTTAAAAAGAAATAAAATGATTTTATTGAATAATATTATTAGGACAGTGATTAATTTTTAGAATGTTTTCGATTTTGGTTTCAGCATCAATAAGTCATTGCTTACAATACCTTTGGTTTATCAGTTCAGTTACACAACTTCTTCAATAAATTTCTTCCAGAATGTAAGTGCCTTGTTTTAAGCAATGTTTGATATCATAGATAATTGTACATTTGATTAAATATTTTATATATTCAGTCCAGAGGCCAGGTGTCACATCTTCAGAGATATCACAGATTATTTGGGTGATAACTACTCACAGTATTTAGTACTCCTATAAAATCTCTACATATCCAATTAACATCGCATTTGCCAATGAAGGTAAGCATGAAACGAATATACCTAATACAGATTCGTCCTGATCAAATTTTGGTTTCTCTCTGAATGACAAATGCGGAAGATTTTTCACTTTTTCTTCTCGATTAAGCTCTGGTAAATCGGAGTCGCCTACGCCTTGTTCTTGAAAAAATAAAGCTTGATATTATGCAGGGTACCATTTTGAAGCAGAGATTTTTCTGAGACTGTTTTCAACTCAAGCACATAAACAGATGCTGCTTCATTCATTTTCAAAGATGAACCACATCCTAATATGAATAAAATAATGTACATTCCACATATACATCAATAAATTGGTACAGCTTATTATTACTGTGTATTTTCCTTCCAGTCAGAGAATCCTTAGGATATTTTTGATAGAACATGACCACATTTTGTTACAAATAAAAAAAAAAGTATTTAAAATATATCTATGGCAATCAACCTCAACTGCCATCCATATCAGTTTCAGACAGTAATATAAGGATGGAATTTTACTTCTCAGTTGGTCAATGTCTCTTTCATGTTTAATAACTTCAGCCTCCCATGTCTTGTCAGTGTCCAAACCTTAAAAATAAAAAATTAGATTTTGGTGCAATTCTATAAAAAAGGAACAGGTACAAATTTGAACCTTTTTGACATTGTATTGTAAAATCGAAAAATAGCAACGATATCAAAAGATTGAGAAATGACATCCAAAAGCAAGTTTCACACTACTGCAATATTCAGAGAAATCAACTTCTAAGATGTCTATATCTTATTACCGCTTGAAACCAATATTCATTGTTCACATTCTTATATTTCACAATAATAAAACTGTACTTTATCGCGTGCAACATGATATTTAGTGCAAGGCAGGCGGTAAAACTGAAATATAATTGGCAACCCCAGACTGCCGTAAGGCATTTGGGATGGACATGGTTACACGTGACGACAGAGTCTGTGAGTACTGAAGTATACCGGTACCTCAGAAAATGAGGATCATATTATTATGAAAATCGTTCATTTTACAGTTTTACATGTTATTAGTGGTTCATACACATCTAGTACCACAGTGTTATTTAGCGGTATCGGTAGGGTTGCCAACCGTCCTTCATTTCAAAGGACAATCCTTTATTTGAGATTTTTGTCCTTGTCCTTTTTAAGATGATAATTTTCCTTTATTTTTTCCAACGTTGTTTTGCCCGATAGTTATAGTACTGTGTTTGATATTCTTTTTAATTTCGCTTTGGTACAGCTCAAATAGCCAAAGAAATACCAATTTTATTAACAATTTCAAATATTTTACATTAATTTTTCATAGATAGCAAGCAACACTCCAAGATTTGAGTGAATTCTAGTTCAATAACTGAAAATTCTACGTATATTTGGTCTCTAAGATTTTAGATTACTTCTCAACTCTGCGATAACGTATTTGGAAAAAAGATTTGACTTTGATGAAAATTCAACATTTGGAAAATTATCTCTTTTGGATAATCTTTCTCCAAAATATCAGACACTTGTAAAAATTGTAGAGCATTTGAAGCTAAACTGCTAAAAGACAAACTTAATTTGAATATTTTTGACCTATTTGATGGAGTTGCACTCATTCAAAAAAAATTTGGCACGATTCAAAGCACTAAACTGTTCACAGAATGCAGCTTGATTGGGTCAATGTTAAATAAACATTAAATGAAAAACACATGAAGATTTTTTAATATATCTTTTAGCTTGTATATAATTCAGTAATTTGTACTTGATTGTTTTATATTGTTCTTTCCTGCAAGTTACAAAATAAATGATGACGGTAATCTATGTCCTTTATTGAGACTTCATAGTTGCAACCCTAGGTCTGTAGGTAGGTATTCGGTGAATCTGATAATTACTCACCTTCACATCTGTTGACTGGCGGATAACGTGCGGTTGATGATTGTGTGGGTGAATCATCAGAAAAACATACTGTTGTTCCACTAAAGAATAAACGACATGAAAGGCAGTTTTTGCTTGTTTTTACCAGAGCCCTGAGCATTTTATTAAACAACTTCTCACCAAAGATAATCACGCATGGGCGGGCGGGTTAAACCGTAAATATATAGTCTACTACGTTAAACCGATAACGTAACTTTAAGCAGGAATCTTAGTAGCAAAAAAATCTGTCGGCCTGGGTTGATCCTTGGACTTACAGACTCAGATCTCTGTTGAAAGTTTAGCAAATATTAATACGGTACCGGTATCATAGGGCAGTGTGTGCTTAGTTATTGGACACGTTGTGGACATAACGATCGTTTCAATATTATGTTGTTGTTGTTCTTTGACACGTTTTGAAGAAATCGCTTTTCTCTTTGATTACTGAACCAATTGCTTTGAAATTTTTTTAATGAGTAAAGATTATATTTTTTGCTAGAAGGCTATTACTTTTATTTTTTGCTATGACGTCATCAAAATTATGTGGTGCTACGTGTCCATATATTTGAGCATAGCTCTATTGTTTTGGTTTCAAATGGTAACTGAGACCGTAAATCAATATCAATAAAACATTTTATTTCGGTATTCGTGTTAATTTATCAGGGATTGATGCGTTTATACATATTCCTGCAGTTCAGGGTTCACGCTAGGGTTGGATTATCCGGATAGCGGTTAACCAAGAGTTATTTTGCTATCTGATATCCGGATATTATTGTGACGGTTAACCGGATAATAGAGCAGTATAAATAATACATATGCGCGATTAGCGATTTTTATATTTTTTGTTGAGTGGCGACTGACATCTCCCAGAGCATATAATAACAACTTTTTCCACTCTAATCTGCCTATAGAGGACTTGTACGGGTCACGTGACTTTGTTACTGGACGGCAATAAAACAAAAACGTCCATTTGGCTCCTGTCAGTTGCAAGTCGAATAATACGTTTCCGTTTTGTTTGGCTGTTGAAAATTGTTATTTCGTATTGTTCCGTTGGCTGTACGTATAGTATAGACAACGAAATGGATCTTCAGTTATATTCCACTGATTTCAAAAGATCCGGAACGTCGCGCAATGTGAATATCATCTATTGGCAGGACTGCTTGGTGTCAAGTCCAGAAGCCATCTTACTTGTGTTTCACTGTTTGCGGACAGCACTTCGTTGGTGGTGAGTGATAAAGTGGTGATAGTGTGCCGTTATCAATTTCTTTAAATATTCACAAGCTCCCTCATTTCAATGGAAAGCAGATGACAAACTACTGTTATTACGATATTAGTAGGCCTAGGCGTGGGCCTACTTGCAGTTGCAGACTTGACTTGTGTAAGACAGTAAGGAATTGATAATAAATTGCTATAAGGTATTGTTTCCCTAATTAGCAGGTAATGTATTACTAAGTGTGAAAGTTTGAATAGATAACTAAAGTTTAACACCAGTGGTCATGCAAAAAAAATAACCAGAATTCAATTGAATTTGCCATCTAGGGATACGCTCGCCACCGCGCCTCTGATCACCCTGGTAGTTTCACAGGTTTCAATCCCACGCGGGGATAGTTATGTGCGAGAGGATTGCAGCTCTGCTCCCACCGAGGGTGGTTCACATGACCGCTGATCGGTTTCGACCATTCCCCACCATCCAAGCTCATGCTTCTGAAAACAAATAACTGGCTCCCCCCCCCCCCCCCCCCCCCCCCCAGATAAATCCTATCCTAATGGTGCTTGTACAACTGATCCAAAATGTCTTTTTATTGTCATTGGTAAAAAGATATGCTACCCGGAATAAAATTCATTTACGACTAGTGGTTGTGGTGGGATATGGACCTACATTTCACACAAAATTGTTTCGGTGGGTCTGGTAGTGAAGGTTTCAGTCTAAAGTTGAACACCGATACTACAACCAGATACAGTTGCCAATGAAACTTAGCGAGGCGTAATATTGCGACATTGTGATCTGAAAGGAAATTCTGATGGGTAGCCGGCTAGCCGCAACCTTTTGTTTAAAAAATATTATGAGATATGACTTAAGAGTCTAAACTTTTATTTGAGAGGGGTGTAACCCAAGCTAATTTGCAAATGGTATTCATGGTACCAAATGTATCACACACTTTACAGTAATTATAAATTATATTTGAAAAATAAAGCACATCAAAAAAGTATTTTTAAAAAACAATTGGTTTTATATGCAAATACTAGGTTGATATTGAGATTGACCATTTCAATGCGAAATTTTCTTTAGTCAAAAGGCACACTTGATTCGCAAACAGTGATTTCCCTACACCCCCCCCCCCTATAGGCGGTGAACACCCCCCCTAAAATTTCAAACGCCCCCCCTAATTTTGAGGTGCGATTCCACACTGAGGGGTTCTAAACCGCAGTCTGCGGGCCAATTACGGCCCGCGTGACGATTTAAAATGGCCCGCCGAACTTGAGTGAAATAGATTACCCTTCATGTGGTACCTTTTGAGTTTTAGATACCGTCTATTGTTACATCATTATCACAGTTTAAGCACGTTTATTTCGTAACAATTGAATTATTCCGGTATCTTATGTATACGTATGGGTATTAGGATTACACACTGCAGTATTTTAGATATCAGCCGTATATTAAGAAAGCTTAAAGATGTCACAAAACGAAAACTAGGCACTGAAAACAGACTTTTTTTTAGATGAATGACAGCGTTGTTTATTTCTTCATTGAAAAGAATCAAACTTCAGCGATTTGTCTTCTTACCAACAAAATATTTCAGTTCTGAAGGAATACAACATTATGCGACATTATGATCAGTTGACGAGCTTATTCCAAAATTTAATTCATACAAAAGTCAAACAAACATGTTCAAAAAAATTAGAAATGTGTAACAAAACAAGCCATAAGTAGCCATTCATACAATGCCAGATGAGCAAGTAACTTCATTAGTCACTATCAGTTGCAACTTGCAAATTACTTGTTGAAACGTAGTAGTATATATTTACGGTTGAAAGCCGTGCTTGTTATCTATTCCCCGGGAATTCTATCAGGTAAATATTATAATTATTGATTTCATTACATAACAAACTGCGATGTTAGGTGTATCTAAAATCAAGCTTAGAGCCTATTTTGGTGCCTATTTCTCAAAATTTTCTCAGGCCGCTTGAGCGCGCCCTGAAGCCCAGCCGTTTCGTCCCGCACTTTTCCTCGCTCCCCTTTTCTGGCCCTACAATTACATTCTGCTGTGGATTTTGGCTCGCGTCAATCAACTTGGGGGGCCCCCATGTAGCCTACATCGTTTCTTAAATACATACCATTCTTTAAGAATACAAATAGCCTAGTTTTTTATCTAACAGCAAATTATTTACCACCCCCTAAATTTTGAAACACCCCCCCTAAAAAGAAAAGCTGGGGAACATACTGTTCGCAAAGATTTGTGAATGCGCACAGTACACCAATTTGTCTAATGTTTTGATTTTGAGGGAGGAGGTTGTGGATCGGTGCTGCTCAGGATAGGATATTTTTGCCTCTAAATGCATATTACGTGTTTCACATGAATCCATCGTGCTCAGATTCGACTTTTTTCAAGGTCTGAAGGCTCCAACATCCTTATTTTATGGGTACACAAGAAAATTTTCAGTGTGGCATGCATGGGTCAGTTGGAGTCACCAACCTCAAGATATCTATAAGCAAGGATAAGATAACCTGGAAGAAACATTCCATAATTTAGAGTAAAAAATGTATCTGCCTCCACAGCCCTTTAAAATGGAAGATATGATGCCTCGGGGGTAATTTCTATCAAATATTTTACAGTATTATGGTTCTAGTGAAAAGGGGTGTAGGCGGCTTTTTTTAAAGTGTGGTAGGTCTAGTCGAAAGACACATTAAATGTTTATGCTAACAACTGCAAATTAATATTGCAACGCATACAAGTTAACAGAATTTGATACCAAGTTAATACCATTCTATGTCAGGATTAGTTAGCCAGTTATTTGTTTTAGAAGAATGGACTTGATGGTGGGGGATGTCGTAATCGACCAGTGGTCGTGTGAACCACCCACAGTGGGAGGAGAGCTGCAATCCCCTTGCACATAGCTATCCCTGCATGGGATTGGAACCTGTGAAACTCCCAGGGAGATCAGAGATGCGGTGGCGAGCGTATTCTTAGATGGAGAATTCAATTGAATTCTGGTTATTTTTGCATTAGCACTGGCGTTAAACTTTAGTTATCTATTCAACTTTTCACACTTACTAATAGATTACCTGCTAACTATGGAAACAACACCTTATGGCAATTATTGATTAATACCTTACACGAGTCAAGTCTGCAAGTAGGCCTACCAATAACAGTAGTTTGTCATCTTCTTTCCATTGAAATGAGGGAGCTTATAAATATTTAAAAAAATTGATAACGGCACATTATGACTCACCATCAACGAAGTGCTGTCCGCAAACAGTGAAACACAAGTGAGATGGCTTCTGGACTTGACACCAAGCAGTCCTGCCAATAGATGATATTCACATTGCGCGACGTTCCGGATCTTTTAAAAAACAGTGGAATATAACTGAAGATCCATTTCGTTGTCTTTACTATACGTACAGCCAACGGAACAACACGAAATAACCATTTTCAACAGCCAAACAAAACGGAAACGTATAATCCGACTTGCAACTGACAGGAGCCAAATGGACGTTTTTGTTTTATTGCCGTCCAGTAAACAAGGTCACGTGACCCGTGCAAGTCCTCTATATATATTTTAGCCATCCGTAGAATGCTGGAGTGAACTTCACTATTACATCACAAAACACGCAGAACAAATGTGATTATTGCGCTTATTAGAAGAGCTTATTCGCTTTATAAAGTTAGATTTGAACTGGAGGTACAGTTCAAGCAAGACTAACTTAAAAGAATTCAGTTGAAAAGTATTGGTTGGGTGGGTGGGAGTTTGTTGCTTTTTTGTCGGGTGTGGATTTTAGTAATTGTTGCGTGTATTGAAGGAACGCATTTCATCATGAAGTAAACCAGTTTGAATTTCGAGGACTTATTTCACAATACTTCCGATTCCATGTAATCTGTGTAGCATTTCAAAATTTTGGGTACACAACCAAATGTTATGTGCTTCCTTTTAACTTTGGTATATATGTTTTTTCAAATTTCCTTGTATCAATCGAATCAATAGATATACCAGCCGAAAATAAATCTATTCTATCTAAGTCAGGTGTATGTTAAACTAATTGAACTTAAAAGCTTAAAGAAATGGTCATCATGAGTCTGCGACACCAAAATTTAGTACGAGTCAAAATTTAAAGAAAATATGCTCTAGGTCTAGACAGAAAAAAAACTTTCAAAAAATTTAACAATAAAAAAAGGAATAATATAAATTTTTACATAGGATTTGAATATGAGAAAATAACTTAGCGGTCGAGAGGAAGACAATTAGGACACAGTATTTAAAACAATGTTTCACTATATTATTCAGCTGCACTTCTGTACGATTACAGAGCTTAAATTTTTATTTATTGACACATGCAACATCAAAATGCACAATCATTTTTATTCGAGAAAAATAATACATATATATGTACGTATTTACAATAGAACTGTGTGATGGTTTTTAGTCAATTCGCCGCAAAAATCTTGTAAAATCGGTTCTCTGAAATTAGCAATAACTAACTATCCGGTTAACCGGATAGGTAAAATACGAAATACCCGGATATATCCGTTATCCGGATAGTATAAATTATAGGTATCCGAACTAACCCTAGACTTCACGCAGAGTGATTAGGAAAGCGAGAGCGGTAAAGGGGTGCGTACTGTGTATCGGCGTGGCAGTGTAATATTCGTTACCGTTACCCTGCGGCAGGGGTCACAACATTTTTTCTTCAGATGGCTGCACTACGTTTTTGGACACGTTAGTGAAGATAACGGTCGTTTCAATATTATTGTACACGTAGTGGACATAACGATCGTTTTAATATTATTTTGTTGTTGTTGTCCTTTGACAGTTTTGGACACCTAGTGGAAAACCTAAAAAGTCGCTTTTCTTCGCGATGTTAGACTGCTGGCGTTATAGGACTGTGTGGTTTTAATTTTGTTGATATTGGATGTTTTGAATGCGTGAATATATATCCACGAATGTGAGCTTCGTATCCTACAGTCGAGGGGGTCTCAAATCGCCTATCGAGCATCCGCTCTGCAGCGCGGCGGAGCGTTAGGAATACGCTCGCCACCGCACCTCTAATTGCTCTGCGTGGGTTCGAATCCCCATGCAGGATGGTTATGTGCGAAGGGATTGCTGGACTACTCGCCGCCGTAGTGTGGTTCACGTAACCGCTGGTCGGTTACGGCTACCTCTCCCATCAAGTCCATGCTTCCGAAAACAAATAACTAACTAATCCCATACCCGACATGGAATGGTAACCGGACGAGAGGCCGTGGTTCGCCATATGGTTAAGCCGTCTTATCGGCTTCCCTTTCCCCGGTATAAATATGTAAGACCTCCTCCTCTGCGAAGATACGATGCCGACGCTCGAGACGCAGACAACTCACCAGTCAAGCAATCGCTATGCAAAGTTACGATGTCGAGATACAGACAACTCATCTACTCGTATAGCGATTACTTGGTGTCGACTGATATTAGTCGTTGTAAACCAACTCACCTCGACAAAGTTTAATTCTCTGGGATGGGATTCCTTTATGCAGAAGAAAACCAGAGACAAATAGCCAAGGCACTGTCGCCGCACCTGGCAAAGGAACTAGATCGAAACGCGAATCAAATCGTTTTTTATTGGCCTTTCAAAAAATCGCCTATCCAAAACAATAATTTTTCGAAATTTCCAAAATAATCCACGAGGGGACGTAAAATGTTTTTACCTATTTTATTTGTATCCGATACCTGTTTTAAATGTATTAGACGTTTAATATAAGTGTATTGGCAATTGAAAAATATAATTGCTGTATTATTTAATGGATTTAGTTGAAATACAAAACCAATTTTTAACCATAATTTACATATATTTTTCATGAAATTATCGGAATATACGCTATGTTTGATATTATATATGGCGAGTTCTAATTGTGCTGCTACCATTCTGCCATGATGAAATAGAATCTATAAGGTTTCTTTTGTTCTTCCAATATGTCACTATGCTGGCTTTATTGGAGGTTTTTGAGAAATCGCCCATCAAAAACTGTAATTTTTCAAAATTTTTAAAATAATCCAAATCAATTTTTCAAATATTATGTAAGTTTGGCTGAAATACATAATTGCTTTTAACTATGATATGAACTATGCGCGGCGGTGTGGCTCAACGGAAATTAGGAATACGCTCGCCACCGCACCTCTAATTACTCTGCGTGGGTTCGCAGGTTCGAATCCCATGCAGTGATGGTTATGTGCGAGAGGATTGCTGGACTCCTCGCCCTCGTTGGGTGGTTCACGTAACCGCTGGTCGGTTACGGCTTCCTCCACCGCCAAGTCCATGCCTCCGAAAACAAACAATATATATATATATATATATATATAACTAATCCCATACCCGACTTGGAATGGTAACCGGACGAGAGGCCGTGGTTCGCCATATGGATAAGCCGTCTTATCGGCTTTCCTCTCCCCCGAGATAAATATGTAAATCCTATCCTATGATACATATATATTTTTCATAAAATTACCGGAATATAGGCTATGTTTGGTATTATATATGGCAAGTTCAAAACGTGCTGCTACTATTCTACCATAATGAAATCGACACTATAAGGTTTCTTCTTTTCGCCCAATATGTCGTTGTGCTGGCTTTATTGGCGGTTTTCGAGGAATCGCCCATCCAAAACTGTAATATTTTGAAATTTTCAAAAGAATCCGAGGGGGCGTAAAATGTTTTTTCCTATTTTATTCTATCCGATACTTGTTTTAAATGTATTAGACGTTCAATATCGGTGTATTAGAAACTAAAAAAGATAATTGTTCACTTATTTAGTGAATTTAGTGGAAATACAAAACCAATTTTAACTATATATATGATTCACATAAATTTTTCCTAAAATTACCGAAAGATACGCTATGTTTGGTATTATATATGGCCAGTTCAAAACGTGCTGCTACTAATTTATCATGGTGAATTCGAATCTATAAGGTATGTATGTATGTATGTTTATTCGTCTCGTAATAGTGATAAAAAAATAAATGAACGATTATTATGTAAGACGGGATGCATGCACAAGACCGTACTGGCCTAAAACACAGATGTGCGGCATGCACCCTTTTTACCAAATATAAAACAAAAAACATTAGATTAAATATGTATAGTATGGTCCCTTATATAGACAGTTGTGCAAGGTGGGGCAATGGGTCGTTTGGTGTGGTGAAAGTGGTATGGGTGGAGTATACAAAACTCTTAATATAGGGGAGTTTATAAGACCAGACAATATATATAAATAGAGACAACACAACACCAAATAAACATATACATAACAGTGAAATCAAAATTTAGGCGCAAATACAGCGCCTTTGAGTGGTGAGACCATATAGTATGAATGGGCGAAGTATAAGAGATAAATTTGCCGTTCTTCTTTTTACCCAATATATCGTTATGCTGGCTTTATTGGAGTTTTCCGAAAAATACCTGCGCCAAAGCGAGTCATTATCGAAATTCAATCAATTTTAAACAACCCTTTGATACAGCGTGTCATTTAAAATTGGGACTGTTACAGTTGTTTTAAAATGTTACTATATATTAAAAAGATGAATAGTGTGATGACTAATTGTTTTACTTTAATAGCTATCGTTAAATCACTCAAAATATACACTTCCCAGCCATTGAGATACACCTCAATGTTCCCAGCACAAAATGATTGGGAACATTTGTTTTTACGTGTCGTGATTTTCTGTTAACTTCACAGATGTGCAGTAACCCACCCGTGTCCCGTACCGTACGTCTTTCTGAAGGGTCTCCCTAAAACCATGCACTTGCGAATTTAGGCACTTTTTCAGGCACTTTGATATTTTTTATTTTTACTGTCCGTCATTGGGGTTTTTAATTTACTTGACAAAATAATTAGACTTTAAATAAATTTTCGCATCCATATATTGCAATAAAACAATATTATTTCCAATTTATTAGGGTATAATTAATTTTTCAATAGTGAAATTCGGCAACATTGATTACAAAATATAGAAATCAGGCACTTGTATAATTTCAGGCACTTGGTGAAAACCTATTTTACAATGTATCTGATTACTTTAAAGCAAAAAATTAAATATACACACTTTGTATGATTGAATTCACAACAAATACAATGTAGCCAATTAGTTATTATGTAAATACAAAATTACACCAAATTGGCCCAATTCGTGAGAAACTCATGAAAAACAGAATTAATTATTCCCGTTATAGCAATTATCAATTTCTCAAAATCCAATTTCAAGTTTTAATAGCCTTTCGGTGCCATCCCATGTAAAAATAAAATTTATTTCCAGTAATATTTTAATAACGTAAATTTGAAATATCTGGTTAAAACCAAATTATCCACTTGAGAACAACTTTTTACATCTCATATTTGGAGTAAGTACGTGACCAGGAACACGGTGACTTGGCAATACCTTGTCTGACATCGCTTTGGAACAATGTAGGGATCCGGACATTCAAAACCTGTACAATGAACCTAAAAGCATGGAATTACGATTTGTGAAACTTAGTGACGATTTACATCTATTATGCGATTCAAAACTACCAACACCACGCCCAGTTATACCGAAGAAATTTCGAAAACGTATATTCGATACGAATCATCAATTAAGTCACCCTGGAATTCGAGCAACTCAAGATCTTATTCAAGCAAGATATATTTGGCCAAACATGAACATTGACATCAGGAAAATGTGCCGAGCGTGTATTCCATGTCAATCATGTAAACTTCAAAGGCACACGATCTCACCTTTGCAAACTATCGTAACTCCAGACGAAAGATTCTACCATATCAATATTGACATTGCTGAACCTTTACCACCGTCTAACGGATATAATTATATACTTCTCATTGTGGACAAATTTTCGAGATGGGTAGAAGCTATTCCTATCAAAGACATTACATCTGAAACGGTAGTTAAAACATTTTTTCTGTTCTGGATTTCTAAATATGGCGTACCTGCAATCATCACCAGTGACCGTGGAGATTGTTTTCAAAGTGTTCTATGGCAAGAAGCAATGCAATTTCTCGGTTCTCAACACATTCAACAACTAGCTATCACCCAGCCTCAAAAGCAGCTGTTGAAAGACAAATACGACAATTAAAAGCATCTCTGATGACTCACTGCCGGATAATGCAGATTGGTATCAAAACTTGGGTTTAGTTCTACTTGGCATGCGAACTGCAATTAAACAGGACTTAGGATACAGTAGCGCCGAACTATTTATGGAACACCATTGAAATTGCCTGCAGAATTTTTCTCGACCAACCAACCGGGTATCAACACTAACCCTCAGGCGTTTACGAAACGCTTGAGCAATTTCATCAATAAGTTGAAACCAATCCACCCTAGAACACCTCAAAATAGAAAGACATTCTTATCACCGGAATTGAATACTTTCAGTCACATATTTCTACGTGTTGACGCAGTTAGAAGACCACTGGTACCACCTTATCAAGGACTTTTTCGTGTTATACAAAAATACGACAAGTTTTTTAAGATTAATTTTAATAGCAAACCTACCACTGTTTCTATTGATAGAGTTACGCCGGCTCATGAAGAGATTTTCACTCCCGATACTCAGGACATTTCTAATTCAAATACCCCAACTACTGAATCTGACGTACTTGTAGATTACAGGATTATAAGCGACTTAGTACTTATGATGAGGCTCTACAAGAAGCCTATAACGTGTTGGGCGGTGACACTTCGCGCTCTTAACTTTCTTTCATGTATAACCTGCCTGGTTTCTCGATGTTAACAACTCCACAACTTGAATATGATTGAAATCTATTGCAGTCACGTGAAATACGAAATTGTGTGGTGATAAAACAAATGATTCCAGTATTGTAGAAGTTTGAATAAATTGATATAGCAATGTTGAGGTCCAATAATCAATTGATTACAACAATATTGAGGTCAAATGATCATTGTAGAATACGAATGATCAATTGTTGAGGTGTTGAGGTCGAATGATCAATTGTTGAGGGTTGCTAAAGTTTACGACCAACCCAACAGGCAGGTTAACTACATACTTAATTCTAGAATATGCAAACAATAGCAACATTAAATCATGCAAAACGAATCAAACCCTATCACGTAAAGACAAGACAATAAAACAACCCACTTCAACGCGACATATAAATTAACACTACTATAACGGCAAACTCCTAACACGAAGTAAATTGTAAACAGCCGACTGGCAATGATTCGAAATGATAAACAAACATGAACGAGAGAAAAAGTAAAGACCGATAACAGACTTTGTTCACGCCGACATGCTCATTCCTGCCCACGAACAGATGGTGAAATCGCCTTGAAGGGAGTAATTTCCTGAACGGTCATTCGACAAAGTGCAATGACCGATATATCTCGAGATAACCCCAGGTCAAATATATATGAAATAAAACAAAGAAAATTTGTCTGTAACAGTACTAATACACAGATATAACGTACCAATATCAACCGATATTGACGACTCTTTACTTATTACGCAGAACGAGGAAACTAATAGCAATCAACAAGGTTCAGGATCATTACAATCAAGGACTCGACACGGAAGGACAACTAGACCGCCGCAGAGAGACGATTATATTCACTATTAAGTGCCTCGCAATCTGTATGTATTTTTTTGTTTATTCGTCTAGTCTGCCATTTAAATCTGCTTTACCAACTCCAACAGTTACAGTAAACCTATGCCACCCCAATAGACCCAAAGCTGAATACTTTATTCAGAAGCCCAATAATTGTACTAAGGAGACACCCCAAACCATTAAGCAATGCTCTGTTACGGTACATGAATTATCTTCTAGCTATACAAATATTACTTTATATGTGTGTCAGTAGTCTGCTACTAAATGGTCTTGTCATTATTTTTTCTTTGGTGCACATTCGAGTAAACTGACTTCTACCGATAGAACCACCCACCCCTTTATATTGTGAAGATTGGGTATACACACGTTAAAAGCTGATAATAATGGAGATTTAGAACCCACTTCCCCAAATACTTGGTCCACTCAAAACAAGGCAAAAGTTACTCATAGTTGGCCATCCTCTAGACACGGACAAGTGATCAATGCTCATTTGTCTCGTATTCAAATTTCGTATGATCCTTTTCATGGGGTAATGTTAGGTGCTTTCCCTTCAATTTCCACCTGCAACATATTAACTGGGTCATGCACGTTAGGAAGTCAAACTTTAATTTGGAAACACCACCCTTTAATTGATTGCCCTCAATACCAAACAACTGTTACTGAACTTATTTTACATTATAATTCTTCTAATCAGATTTACCGCTTAGATTTTCCAAAACTTGGGCAATCAATCCATAATTGGGGTTCATGTGGCAAGTCAGTTAAAAGATGTTTTAAATCTGATACTTTTTGTACCAATAATGGTTTGTTATTCGAAACGCAACATTGCATTGCACTTGATGGTTCATCCCTTTTTACTCTTAAATATCCCGCCTTTAATTACGATTATACTGTGAAGAATTTTTCAGAATCTTCTCCTCTATAGTTGGGTTTATTCAAGAAAGCACTGATAGGGTTTCCGAGGTAATAAACAAATTGACAGCAGATATTAATTATTTGGAATGCTAAATTGAAAGCATTCTAACCACTAATATTAAACTCCTGTCTAAACAATACCCCGGTAAGATCCTAAGTCAGTTACTAGGTGGGAACAGAGCAGCTATCACCGTGGGTGATATATTGACCGAAATTAAATGCCAACGTATTAACGTTACCGTTCTTAGGAACCTCTTTTTACAGGGTAAATATGCTACCCGACCTTTAGTGCACTTTATTAATAATAGCAATGAAACGATCATTGCACAAATATTCACTGATTCTAACGCTTATGTGGGTATTCATTTTTTTGAAAATTATACGCCTGGTCGTATATCTACGTTTCAAATTGACGGTCGGTTCTATAACTACGTCAATTATACTTTAAATCATGCCGATATGCATGTAAAATTTCTGAGGCCCACATTCAAGCCTTTTGTCGACAATTTTAATCCTATCGATTACACTGAAGCATATAACGAATTACCAAGGGGACACCAGGGTTATGATGATATAAATAATAAGTTATTATCAATCAGCCACATCAACCTTATTCGAGAACGAATATTAAGTGAGCAAACCCTACCTAATGCACATCAGACACTGATACTGATGCTATCTCACATGAAGTGCAAGACACTTTTGTTCATGCCCTCTCCTTCATTAAGAAGTCAATTTTATCAGGTATTTATATGCTCTTATTCCATTTATCTCTCATTTGGGACACTATTTGGACCGTTTGTTTTATCAAGAAACTTTGCCCAAAACTGAGAGATGAAGGACTTCCTAGAATACAACGGCGTCGGCAATACTTGGCTGCTCGCAGGGAACAAGTGAACCCTGTTGAACCACCTCAACCTCTTGTCAAACAATAGACAAGATCAGGGGGGTCAAATCTATCAACCTAGACCAAATCCCAATAATAGATCCAATTCGAACTTATACCCTAGTCTGGCAGACTAGTCGAAGAGCAATGCTCATATTGTACATATTATACTTTTACGTGATTTCTTTCTAGCATGTATTTTACAGAGAATTACTTTGTGCATTTACACCAATACTTATACCAATAATATACCTCATGTATAACTATCTCAGGAATAACTATATTTACTCTACCTTTATACAGCTTAAATACTATTCTTTATTTTTAGTTGAATTTCATGAAAACAGCACGTCATTTCCGCCTTCTCAACCCAAATTGCATCCTTAGAACTCCGAACTCCTGCGGGGGAGTTATGTAGCCAATTAGTTATTATGTAACTACAAAACTACACCAAATTGGCCCAATTCGTGAGAAAGTCATGAAAAACAGAATTAATTATTCCCGTTATAGCAATTATCAATTTCTCAAAATCCAATTTCAAGTTTTAATAGCCTTTCGGTGCCGTCCCATGTAAAAATAAAATTTATTTCCAGTAATATTCCAATAACGTAAATTCGAAATATCTTGTTAAAACCAAATTATCCACTTGAGAACATATTTTTACATCTCATAATTGGAGTAAGTACGTGACCAGGAACACGGTGACTTGGCAATAACAAGTTAATTGCTAGTAATGAACTTTAAGAAAACACTTTTAATAATGTTTGATTATAGTGAACCAAAAGCTAACCAGAAACCGGAATGACGCGTGATTCTTTTATTGTTAATGTAAAAATCTGTTTCTTTATTCTATTTTAATAACTTGGTAGAAAGCTATATATTCAGCAATGTGTTTTGTGTTAATCAGACTAGATTTGATCAAATTGTGTGTGCATTGTATTTCTGTATATATTGTCGGAATTGCAATAAACTCATAAGGTGTTTTCAAACGTCTCCTTACTACAGCCGAAGGCTATCGACAGATAGACAGTTCGAGTTAACAAACGCAAGACAAAATTATTGTCAGCCAATGCTGGGGTTACAATACACAAGCCAGACCAATCTACAAACAATCCAAATATAGTGATTAGTTATCACTACACATAGATTGTTTGTAGATTGGTCTGGTTTGTGTATTGTAACCCCAGCATTGACTGACAATAATTTTGTCTTGCGTTCGTTAACTCGAACTGTCTATCTGTCGATAGCCTTCGACTGTAGTAAGTGCCTTCTTGCAATATTAGTTTGAAATTCCAGTTTTAATTGTTATCTGACGACGATTTTAATAATGTAATTTGGCCTATGACTTCATATAAACTACATAACAGAAATAATTGACTTATGTCGTATAGAATATTTTATAATACGTATCCAAGTCCCATTATCCCCTAATAGAACATAATTTACCGTTCACAAAATGTATAAAAGCCTGTGCAAAATCTATATTGATAACCAGCGGTGTTCAACCACGGCTTTGATCAACTGAACTACAACTACAATAAATATATTCAATCACTTGCTGTTGTATAATATTCTTTACAACCTGAAGATCTGACTGTAATATCTTTTCATGGATAGTTTACGTAGAATTATTTGTACATTATTTCATGCTGTAGCAGCTAACTGTAAAACACGTAGTTCCTAAATGAGAAGAATGGCTACAGGATGGTAAATACGAGATGGCAATGTCACCTAAACAAAATTCGCTCGGCGAATGACATCAGGTAGCTGATATGCCCAAAGTTAGGCTTAAAAGCATCGTTAAACGAATGTTACATTAAAAATCCTTTAATATTCAACACGCCAGTAGTCAGCCAACGAATTTTTTTGCGTTATTCAAAAAGTTGCAAATATTAAAAACGTAAAACAGTAATAATTTTTAATGTCACAGAAGCCGTATCAAACTCTCGATTATAGATCTTCCTCCATCAGTAATTGGGGATATATATTTGAATTTAAATTTAATCAGGAGATAAAACATTAAAAACACAACTGCACAAAGGAAGTGTATGAGTGAACACTAATTGAAGCTTTCAGTTTGAAAATTATTAGAAATATTGAGTATCCAAAAAAAATCCTTACTATTCGTTTTATTTTGGCATGATATGATTTACGTATCTTGCAATTAAGTAAAACCATAGATCTAGGAATTGAAAATTTCAAATGTCAGTTCTGAAATTAAACATGAAAAAGTTTTGTGTATATTTTCCTACTTTTATATGTCGGGCATATAGTTTCTTCATGTCGCGAATGAGCATCAGAATAGGTGGTGCAGAAAATGGTGCTCCCGCGGGATGTGCACAAAGTTGGCGCACAACCCGAACATAGTATGTGTACCAAGATAGAGGTATCAGGTTGTGCGCCATCTTGGAGCACATAGGCTAGCACTCAATATACATCGGATTGTCTTAAAAAAACATTATACCGAGAAAGCAAAGTATAGTAAGTACTAAGTTCTGACGAAAATGATTTATGAAAAGTATTGCGAAAATATATGGCAACTGTAATCGAGAAAAATCAGGCACTTGCGAAATTTTACCCCTTATCACAAGTCCCCAGTCGTTTTTGTTTTTTACCAAAAAATACGTCATTTCAATCATACAAAAGATTGTATATTTTAGTTTTCTGCTTCAAAGTAAGTAAAAACATCGGGAAATAGGTTTTTACAGAGTGCCTGAAATTTCACAAGTGCCTGGTTTTAGTATTTTGTGCTTGAGGTTGCCAGATTTTATCATTCATATACAATTTCAAATAAATCCAGAAAGTACGGTGGTTGACCATATGTTGCCAAATGGTATTGCTCATTGCATTATTAAAAACGCTCAAATTGTTGTGGAACAATGAATTTGCGTTAGAAAGCAAAGAATAGTAAGTTATGACGCAAATAATTTAAGAAAATAATTGCGAAAAAATATGGCAACTGTCACCGAGAAAAATCAGGCACTCGCGAAATATGACACGTCTCCATCAGTCACAAACGGTATTGTATTTTACCGAAATGTTGTGAATTCAATCATACAAAGTATATATGTTTAATTTTCTGCTTTTGAGTAATAAGATACATTGTAAAATAGGTTTTGACCAAGGGCCTGAAGTTTCACAAGTGCCTGATTTCTATATTTTGTAATCAATGTTGCCACATTTTACTATTGAAAAATTATTTATACCCTAATAAATTGGAAATAATATTGTTTTATTGCAATATAGGGATGCAAAAATTTATTTAAAGTCAAATTATCTTGTCAGGTAAATTGGAAACTACAATGACGTACGGTAATAATAAAAAATATCAAAGTGCCTGAAATGGTGCCTGAAAAAGTGCCTGAATTCGCAAGTGCCTGGTTTTAGTCAGACCCCGGTACTGTGACGGACAATGTCTGCAGGTCAGCAGATTAGTGCAGTACGGTGCTGTTGAATATGGACACGGAAAATTGCACTAACCTATACTTACAAGTCTGTCAAACTCTTCTAACTTGTAAGTATAATGATCCTGCATCCTTTGCGGACCTGTATAAATTGCTACCTTGGTTCAGACAATCACTAACGTGTTGTGTTTGCAGCGATGTCGTGAAAGACCCAATGTCATCGACGGAGTCTGCATGCCAGCATTTTGTATGTAAGTTGTCCTATTTCTATATTTTGTGTGTGTTGGGGTCTAGTGTAGTTTCATATGCAAAAATGGTTGTGACATGCCAAATACTGAAATAGAAGTTCTTACGTCGTTTAGTGAACATGCGCCCAGTCATGGGCGAGGTATTTTTCCATGTACCATACCAGACAATCAAACACTTCGAGTTACGATTCATCGCAAAACATTCCAATTACCGTATATCAATTTTTTACATTTCCAGATTTCAGGCCACTTTGTGTAAATCATCAAAAACCTGGGTGGAATTTCAACTTTTTCTGTGAAATGTATGCAGTCCAATAATATTGAAGTGTCTTTTGATATAAAAAATACAAAACATATGAAAAAACAAAATGAAATTCAACAGTACACATAATTATTCCCAACACTGCCACAAGATACGGAACATACGCAGGGTGATCAGAGGTGTGGTGACGAACCTATTCTTTAATCTTTATTAACGCTTAGCACAATGTGCCAGATCGTCGAGAATTTTGTTCTGAATCGACCTTTTATGTACCATAATTGCGAGATGGTTGCAATTACTATTCTCCCTATTAGTAGCTTTGATGGATTAGATTTTCTGATAGAAACCTAATTTTAATAAGTTGAAAACCTGAATTGAACCTCTTCACATGTGGCAAAATTTAAAAAAAAATCTTTGAAAATCATTTTTGTATGGTATTCATAATTTGACATCTGTTTTACATTTTCATGATTTTTGTAAAAGGTGCACAATGCAATGGAAAACCAATGATATTGAAACCATCATGCAGTTGGTGCAAAGATTTTACACTCTTTGAGCGAAATGGCCATCTTGCCATATTAGTGATGTGTTTTGCAAAAATATGTGAATTTATTTCTAAATCTCCAATAATGGAACATATAAAACATCATGAAGAAGAGCAGAAAGTTGATCAAGGTAATCATTACATATTTAGTCAATTTTTCATTCACAAAATATTTTGTTGAATTAGTAATAATGGGGAGATGATCGTATGGTCATCCTGTCCATACCAATGCAATTTTATTAGATAAAGCTTGGAGTACTTACTGGAATATTACGTTTTATATCTTCATATATTAATGTTTCCCAGAGGCTTGTTGTTGTTTTATCCCTATAGTTGTGTATTTAAAAAAATTACACTATCACTTGGGTTCTATGAATAATTTCAATGTCAGGTGCGGTGCGATCAATTGTATTGCAGAAAATATTTCACTTCCACATTTTACAGACGTTCAAGGAGGACCTAATGAAAGCGTAGAAAAAAATGGAAAGATGTTATCTAAAAAGAAATCAAAGGGAAAAAGAAGGGTTTATCCTGGACCAAGGTAAATAGCAAGATGAAAATAATTAGTTAATACATTAAAACTCAAGTGTTGGTTGGATCTTCCTTTTAAAAATATCTTTGTTTACCAAATCAATTAATTTCTTATTTTATATAGACTGTAGGGATGTAAGTTTCAGAATTATGAATCGATGCGATTCGAATTAACATCATTTCGAAGCAATTTCAGAAAATAAAATGACTGGATTCTATTTGAAGAAAAATAATAATTCAGTTATCACAAGTTGATTGCACACCGTAGCAGGATTGTCTCAACATTGACATCTTCGTTTAGTTTCGTTTCCCTAGTGTGGTCGTTATATTCCATATGGATGGGTCATACTCATAATTTCAGGGGAACCAATGGTTTTGATTAATTTTGTTCTACTGCGTAAATTGTTGAGAAGATTTACAAATATGTTGTTATATGAACGCTTTGAGTACCAATATGGGGGAAATGATACCAAAGCACATTTAAAGGCTTGAAGTGTTCTCATTTAGATGAAATTGTCCCAACCCTAATATATTCGGCATTTAATGAATCCATTGAATGTATTTTTTCTAAAAATTTAATTCATTTAGTTCATTATTAATATTATTCTGTGGTAACTGACAAATATATTACAGTGGGTGATCCTTTCCACAGTTTACAAGTACAAATGCCAGTGTCATGGACTCATGGTACTGTAACTCAAATTTTCTCTTGTCTATACCTTCTTTCAGACGGAGATACAAGCAGCTGACTTTCAGTCTTAGTCATGTGTTAAATGATGGTCTAGCAATCAAAACAGATTTAATGGATTGGTTAGACAAAAAAGTCTCTGAATCGACAGACACCACAGATTTAACACCCACATTTTTGAAAGTACAGTCTGAGTTATGTTTGGATACGAATGCATTACTGTTGAGCTCATTGGAAGAAAACAATTTAGATGATTTTCATGAGGAAATTTAAAAGTGGACAAAACCTTTTTAAAAACGAAAGTATACTGCCATTTTGTTAACTAATATATTGTTATAAAGGATTTTAATGTTTATTATGGTAAAAGGACAGATGATAAGATCGACTGATTGTTTGTGGAGGACAAAGACTTCTTAAACGCTTACCACCCCGCTCAGTCCAGGAGATACTTTACTCATTCAATATGCATTGCTTTAGCTAGTGGAAGAGTCCATTGTCGTACTGCAAAGCATGTATCGTAATTGATTATTTCAATAAAATTGAATATTGGGAGTTTTGTGGGTGCCCGAGGCGTTCTGATGATTTAGCATGATGTGCCAAAGGTTGAGTTAATACCAGGGATGGCCAATTCGAATAAAGTATCTGAATATCTCTTCATTCGAATATCGGAATTAGCGTTCATAAGAATATCGGATATTTGTGTGTCGTCACACATTTTCGACGCCGCTTTTTAAAACGTTTCCGCTGAATGAAAACATTCTCGATAGAAACTTGCGCGCGATTGCTTTCATCTGCGGGAGGTGGTATTTAGGCCGTTAACGCCTTTACGTTTGTGTTATTTTTTTTACTATGACGCAAATTTGTTCCACGATAACGATGACAATTATTTTATTTTTCTACTCGCACGGAATTGTGAATACGTTCATCGGCGACGAGTTTCTAAAGAAAACGCAAATTTTTTGATTGAAAAGCGGCAATTTAAAATACCGAAAATAAAACCATAAACCAAATAGTTTTTACTGAGGCCCTCGACAGTTTAAAATACGGCAGTGAAAATCGCAAAATTTCGTGTGCCTCTGGCACTTATTATGTTTGGTCCGCTTTTAGAAACATATCGTCACTAATTGAGGGCGGGATTTACCTGAGTATCCTTTACTTAAATTAAATTCCAGTCGAAAATTTTCGTGTTAACATTATTATACAAGGCTTAAAACGCGACTTTATCCCGGGTTGTGAGAATGTATATGATATAATTAATCTAAAGTATATTCAAACATCTTTTATTGTGCTTAAATAAATTTTACTCTGAGATTTTACGGCAGATTTATGGATTTTTCGAACGGTTTTATCTTAAAAATAATCTGAGTGGCGTGGCGGCATTTCGATTGAGCGAAGTCGGTGTTACACATCTCAAATTTGCCGAATTCGCAAAATACGGATCGAAACAATATATATCTATAATCGGGCAGTTCACCACACATTTTTATTTTCATGTCCGCGAATGCCATGGTTTAATTTAAAACAATTAAATTAAGAAAGCAAGACATTTTAAATATGCTCATATCGGTCACGATTTCATCACTTTGCACAACAGAAAAATATATATTGTTGTTATATTATTCGTTTTAAAAGTCGGCTATTTTAACAGTTGGGAGTAATCGCGGCGATGAATAAGTATTTTTAATTTACTGCTAAATTTTATATGTATATTCATTGTATGAAATGAAGTTGTACTCTACTGGATGTTATATCAGTTATTGAGATTTTTCTAACGGCGATAACAAGTTGGCAAGATTGCAAAAATACGTATTAAAATTAAATGCATCAGGCAGTTTATATCGTACTTTTAGACCACAGATCGCCGTGGACCGAATAGTAATGTTTTCATTTTGACGTATAAAGAGGCAACCGCGAGTTACGTTGGACTCATAAAATTAAAATATAAAGATATTTTAGAATCTCGTAGTTGTCATGGATTGAATATTTTACGTGACAAGATGATCATTATTTATAGGCTGAAAAGACGGAACGAGCGCGGAATCGCGGTGGCTGTTAAAGGCGCAATGAGAATTTCCGATTTTCAAAATCGTGGCTGCGCGCCTGGCAGTGGTGGTCATCTATCCTCTAACTCTAACTTATTGCTAATTTCAGACATAACAATATGCTACACATATTAACAATATGGTTCACATAAATTAATATACAAATATACTGGTAGGTGATAGAATACTCTAGAGTCTAGGCATAATGGATCGTTGTTGCTTGCTTCAGTTGCTTGTATTGCCAATGAAATTAACTACTTATTAATTACTAATTAGTTGTCAAAACTGCTTTTCACAAACTCTCAGAAAATATACACAATTATCTGAATACAAGTAGTATATATTTTTGTCAATAGACTTGACTATTATATATCGTAATATCATGGTACCAATGATAGAAAGCGTCAGACAACTCCTTGGCTATTTTTTCATATGGTCATTTGTACTAAGTGTACAATTTTAACAAACTGACTGTGTCACAAGTTGCTATTATTTTTATTGATAGCTATAAACTATCAATTACTTTGTGTACATATACAGTTGGTTTGTGGCTTTATTCTGATATTTCTATTGAAGCTTATTTCCTATTTTACTGGGTGTTCATAAACTGTAACAAAAATGTGTTATTTTCGATTTTAGAATGTACTCGGAATTCCAGATTCGAAAACATTATTTTAGAATGTATTTGGAATAGTTTAGTATTCGAAAATGGCCATCCCTGGTTAACACTAGTATTGAGTGGTGAAAGCTATGCCACGTTATGTCTAGCAGCAGCAATATCTCCCGCATAGAAAATAATAAGGAATGTTGCAAGTAATTTACTGTACTGCTCAAGTTTTTTATTTATTTGAAGCTGTTACCATATGAATACTATTTTGAATATGATTACTATTATCCCATATTTCATTTTTCGTAAAAATAGCAGGAGAAGTCTTTATTAAATTTTTAATACATACCTAACAACGCATTTGATTGACATTCTGTGTGAGCTACCTTTTAAAAAACAAGGTCTTTTAAGATGCCAGGATGGGCAATGTAGAATAATTCACTATTCTAGAATCTAGAATACCCAAATTGAATCTAGAATACGAAATCCTGTTTACAAATTTCAAAACTGCAAATGTATTATTGCCTTTGTATTCAATTGAAAATGTCTTGAGCATTGGATTTCATTTGTTAAGAAACAGGCGGTTCTCAGGAAAATGTACTTTAGAAATTTTAACATTTTTTTTTGCAGTGAAGTGTTCAAAATTTATGTGATGCCTAAATACTGATATTTTAAAACAAATAGCGCATTATATAATTCAATAGTAAATTGTGGAATACAAAAAATAAGTATGAAAAAACATTAAATTATTAAAAATTTGAGTGCACTTGGTAGGGTTCGCGTTAAGTATTGGTGTGAAATAAATAATTAATTTAACTGCTATCAATTATAATCAAGTATGTCGGCGTGTTTATTTCGTGCGAACAAGACTCGTAACATCTAAAGACTGATTTATTTTCTGTTGCAAAATCTTAATTTTCCATTGTTTTGTTATATGCCTACACAGACTTGTCGATACGTTTTGCATAATGTCTTTACCACGTGTGGCAACGTTATAAATTTATCGTCGGCTTAAATACTTGACCAAACGTGATGACGATGGAATAATGTATTTTATTGGGAGTGCAAAATGAATATAACAAAACGCCTGGTTTTGCGATATACGGTAACGGAATGGTGACGGAAATGGTGTGTCGTAAATGTTTTCCGTATAATACGACAAATTCATTTACAAATACTTTGCTGTCAAATCCTATTCTCGAATCTGGCACGACGGTGCGGCGCATCGTGCTAAGCGTTAGGAATACGCTCGCCACCGCATCTCTGATTACCCTTCGTGGGATCGCAGGTTCGAATCCGATGCGGGGATGATTATGTGCCAGAGGATTGCTGGACTCCTCGCCGCCGTAGGGTGGTTCACGTAACCGCTGGTCGGTTACAGCTTCCTCCACCATCAAGTCCATGCTTCCGAAAACAAACACCTGGCTAACTAATCCCATACCCGACCTGGTAACCGGACGAGAGGCCATGGTTTGCCATATGATTAAGCCGTCTTAATGGCTTTCCTCTCCCCCGGGATAAATATGTAAATCCTATCCTATCAGATTTAAACAAAATCAACTGATAGACTAGAACCAAAACTCATTTAGCTTTTGTATCTCTTAATATTAAATTTTTTCAAACTGCTTCCGAGTTCAAGCCTAATCTTCAAATGCCCGATCTTACAAATTCATTAGCGTCTGCTCCCCATTTTCCTTTGAATTGTTCGCTGCTCGGCGAGTGACAGCTTCGTGAATCGCATTGTTCGCTTCGCTGTTAGGACGTTGTAACGTCATAGACATATATAATAAATTGGACTCGAATATAAGCTTTGCAACGCAAAGGGAACCAGATCAAACTAAATTAAAAACTAGTTTAGCTGGCCGCACACCATTCAAAATTGACACTTCTCCGCGGGCCGCACAATTTTCCCTCGCGGGCCGCACTTTGCACACCCCTGATCTAAATTGTCGATCCCTAAATTGCTGTAAGCTGTATTCCAAAGTTCTTCATTACCCCGTGAGTCATTTTCCGTAGAATTTCCATTATTGTTTTGCAAATGTCAGGTTTCAGTCAGTCGATGGTTCTTGATCAGGGCTTGTGCATCTCACTTTGTGTAGGCTACACAGTGCCGGATTCACCATTGAGCAAGGTGAGCTGAATCCTTGGGAGCTTCGACATTTAAGTTTGAACTATTCAATGGTTAATTTTTAAATTGCGGCTTTCAATCGATTTAATCTGGTCAATACTTATTGTCCCGGGCATTCACAGCTTAAAATTTAAAATGTTATAAAACTAGATCTTTTATACAAAGCATCCGCCACTAATGCATAAATGTGAGATTTGAGAAAAACACCCCCGTCGTTTTTAAATAATAAATTAGTAATTATCCAGTTGGGGTTAGGAATGATTTGAATTTTATTTTTAAAACTGAATAGTTACTAATTTTCTTATTTTGAGCGTTGGTGGGGGCTTTGTACGAAGGTCCATAAAGTTAAATATTTCCATTAAAAGAATTTGTCAAATTTAAAAAAACGTTACTACATTAAAAAATCCAGCTTTTAAATCAAGATTAATTCGCAGTTACATGCTAGTATGTTTTCATCAGAGAAAGAAATTTTAGCGTGAAAGTTATTTTGACCACGCTGCGTCGCGAAAGAGAATTTCTTGTAGCAAAATTTGGTAGTTTATACACGGTTTGTGAAACTCCCGCATTGACTGAACGGTCCCCTAGTATATGTTTTGTTCAGATTTTCGTTTACATTTATCGGTCGGCCCTGATTCCACTCTGGAAGACGCCAGTAGTGATATACGGCCGATAGCGGTTTTCTACAGCACTTGTTTTCAATAATTCCATTTTTATGTATACACTTATTGTTTTGCTCAACAATTATTACGGATTGGTTCATGAGTGGATTACAATA